CTTTAATGTATACAAATGAGAGATATATTAATATAGATAAATTTATGTGAACAAAAGTTTTATTCTATAGACTTTTTTTTTGTAAGAAACGGTGTGAGTACGGTGCATCTTCTCTCAGTGTCATTGATTTATCCTTTGCAAAAATATCGCTGTTATTTATATACAAGCGTAGTTTTTGCAACCTGTTTACATATGCATTAAAAGTAATAGTGATATTTATATCCAGTATGTTTAATTATAGAGAAGCCCCTCCAAAGGCAAACAAAAATCCACAATATATTCCTGCAAGTTACTTTCACGCATATATCATTATCAACAAAATTGCTTTAATAAAATATATTATTCTTGTAAAAAGTAAAATAAATACTATATATATATATATATATATATATATATATATATATTATATATATGTATGTATGTATGTATGTATATACGTATGTATGTACTTATGTATGTACGTATGTATGTATGTATCCCATCAAACCAAGATATTGCAGTTACATTGCCGCAACATTGCTGCAATGTTGTAATATTGCCGCAATATTGCTGCAATATTCTGTGTTTGCTGGGATGTACATAAAATTTATTACTTTAATGTTACATTATGGTTTTATTTTACAAAATACTTCTAATAAGTCATAATAACAAATGTTTGTAAATATATCTTTGATATCTTTTTAATCCGAGCATTATATATATGTACGTAACAAATTGAAGGATATTGATCGATATACAAAAAAATTTATGTTTAGCTCTTGCATGTAAGAATTTTAAATTTCATCAATATAAAATAATACCAACGACTTCAATCATACGTGTTGTACACGAATTGTACATTGGTCACGTGGTGCTTGTAATTGATAAATAGAGGAAAGTCCGAAAGAAATTCTTGTGCGCATGCGTGACTACGTCATAAGTACATGGCTGGCTCAATCTCGTAATCGTAATCGTAACTCGTAAATCCAAGTCCCGGTTTACAACAGGTAATGTAAGCCCTGAGTAAATAACCGAGAGTAATGCAATTTAACATAAATGCAATTTTATTCAGTTATATATCAATTTACTTTATAATTAAAATATTTTTATTTTTATTTTATAACCTTTAAAGTATGTATAATTTATATACACAATATCAGATCTGTGTAAATAGAAATTTCGCTTGGTATGATGTATATGATTTATATGGTGATGATTGTATCATAGAATAATTTATATAAATATAAATACATATAAATTTATATAAATTCATTGTATAAATCTTTTTTAAATAGAGACAATTTACAGTAACAGAGAGTATATGACACATATATACAATAGGCGAGTCGAATAATTCAATCAGATATTTTACGAGTTATGTTACATTTGGGATAATTTTATTTTTAAATTTTATTCTCAAATGTGTAATATTTTGAAGAAGAAATTGTATGACTCATATACATAATCATTTTTTTTAATGCATTGGTCTTATGAAATAATTAACTTTTACATCTCCGTGTAACAAGAAAAAAAAAAAATTATATATATATATATATAGAATGAAAACTGCACAAGTCAAATGTCATATAATCTTATGTGAATTTTATATACACATATATATATAGGGTGTCCCAGTTATCTTTCGTCATCTTTCAAAGACAGATTCCTGGGATCATTTGAAGACGATTTTTCCTCAGCGAAAATGTCAATGAAGGCCATCATTTTTTGCATGTTCCCGATTTTTGTCATATATCTTTGCAATTAAGTCTTAAATTAAAACTCAACTAAAGTAAACTCTATTTAAAATTAATCAAAGAATGTGGTTTTGTTAATATTTCTACAAGTTACATTATTTATTTCTACAAAGCTTAGTTTACAAAAAATCCCTTATTTCCAATCACTTATAATTCAAAAATTATTAGTGCCTCGACATTTTCGTTGAGGAAAAGTCGTCTTCAGATGATCCCAGGAATCTGTCTTTGAAAGATGACGGAAGATAACTGGGACACTATATATATATATATATATATATATACATATGTATATATATATAAAATTTACATAAGATTATATGACATTTGACTTGTGCAGTTCTCATTCTTTATATATATATATATATATATATATATATATATATATATATACATTTCGTTAACACCGAACATATTTATCATAACAAGAACAATGCGATATCTCTTTTTCATATTTAGCATGATATAAAATGATAAAATAATAAACAATTTCGTCATATTCTTTTAAAGTTTTTTTGACAATATCGTTCAATGACAATATTTCGCTTTGGAACATTTTTGTTATCCTGGTAGATGGAAACAAATTGAATATTTACGTAGCCTTTTAAAATAAATTTGATTTTCTTTTCGGTCTCACCATTTTCGATACTTTCGATCGCGACGCGATAAATGAGACCAACATAATTGTCGCCTCTATTTGTCTTTTCAACTATATAAAATTTAAATCAACTATCAACTTGATGTTTTTGTCATTTGTAAATAATCATGTAACCATTTATTTAAATTAATATTTCTTCGTTTGTCATTTCTCTCATCTATTCATTTATATTTTTGTCTTGAAAAATGCGTGATTAATATTATTCAATTTATTGCAACAGGATTAATAATGAATAATTTTGTCTTAAATCATTAAAATACGGAATTCAATAGATCATTCTATAACGATAGTTTTATAAGACGACTTGTTAATTTACAAATTCGATGATAAACGTTACTGACAAGATCGTACAAAGCATTGTTTATATCACTTTTGTATTGCATTCGTAGTTTATAAACTACGAATATATTACATACAAAATACAGTACAAGTTTCAATATAATATTTGAATATTAAATAAATTTTGATACGTTTTGTCGTCTCTTCCTCCTTTTCTTTTTTCCTCGTGGTTTTTTTCTTTATTTAATTCGAGTATACAATTAAGTAGAGAGATTGAATTAATAATTATACTTATAATTTTATATTTGGCTCGTTAAAAAGGTTGTTCACCTTTAACGTTTCATATAGAACGCGAATCGTTCGAATAATATATATATTGAATTTTTATCATATTTTTACATCAAATATAGAGAAAGGAAGAAAAAGAGAGAGGAGCGAGGTGTGGCGAGATACCGACTGACCACCATTTCTCTAATTAAAGTGCCTTTACCTTTCAGACAAGAAATGATACTTTCTGTGATAGTTTTTTTTTTTACTCGAGACAATAGTTTTTTATGCCTCGTATAAAGATAAAAATGCAAAACATTCTTGTCTCGACATAGATTTTCCTAAATATTCTTTTAAACAACTTAATAATTTATTAATTTTATGTGCCAAATTAAGGTGTCGAGTAATTATTTCAATTATTATAATTATATATAAAATAAGTGAAGTGATAAAAAAGAAAATATATATACATATATATACATACATACATATATATATAATTCTATTGACTCATTACAAAATAAAATCACTAATTAAAAAAAAATTAATTAAGTGAAAAATTTTAATTGGGATAGTTTTTAGCACAGCAACGTTCCTACACACACATATATCCGGTGACCCTATACAATTTACGAACTTACCAACTTGTACTAGCTTGTACTTACGTAATCGTGACTTTCATACGTTGCACTTTCATTTTCGAAAGTGTGATGTAATCATTATTTAGATAGAGGAATCCGATGAAATCTAAATTATCGTCGTAGGATTTTTTTATTGCGGAACTTTGAAAAATCCCGTATGACACTGAAGAATAAAGACAATTGTAGATTGAACATAAGAATGTATATGAAATTTTAGCGATTATCGCAAAGTAATCTCGCGCTTTTGCACAGTGTTTTGGTTGATTAATAAGACGATGAATGTGATCGAGGTAACGAGGCATTTTTCAAATACGAGCCGACTTGCGCGAGCTTGTGTATTTTCATCGATCTTGATTGCTCAACGAGAGATCGAGGGTATAGGCACACATAATAATCTTGGAGATTGTATCATAGCGGGCTCTCGGCGATCTCAAGGCGAGATACAGCCATTCTCCGACAGAGAGTCGTAATTCGTGGTTCGGCCTTACTCCAGTATCCTCGGTATTATAAACGAACAAACTTTGCAGCTGTCTCGCTCTCTCGCGCTCTCTTGCTTTATACTCTCTTTCCAAGCATGATAAAAATATACGGCGCGACAAATCAAAGCGGGATCGATCGATCGATCGTTGGTAGACAATCACAGTGCCAAATTCTCGCGTAATGTTTCTTTTTTCTTCCTGCTTGTCCTTTTCCGCCATGTATTCTTCGTAATATATTCGATTCTCTCGTTCGAGCGCTATATACTTCTTTGTTTCCTTCACTTTCCCTCGTTATCTTTACCTTGCGGCACGATCTTCGGAATTCCAATACATTCGACACGCATTGTTGATCACTGCGAGATGGCATCGTTTAAATCGATTGGAAAAAATTCTCGTGTAATTTTTAACTCGCGCAAGATACTCTCGTCCGACTAATCGTTGACGCGCAGCGTACATATTGTAAATCTAAACTCTAGACGATGGAGCGTGGTTACAGCGATAATAACCGATCATGTAATATATAGCTTTCATAAAAGCGGAAGAGGCATCGCATCTCGTTATATATAATTGATGGATATATATTTTCGAAAGAATTTTATAAAAATGTACAACTCGCGGATGCGCGATTCTTACATGTAATAAGAAATTGCAAGAGAATCGAAAGAGAAGAATGTCTTTGGGGAAGATATGTTTGAAATTGACGATTCAATCTTTCAATTCTACAAACGCGACGAATTAAAAATTGTTTTCTTCCGCTTTCGAATCGTATATCATTGTGGAATGATAACTAAAGCGCTTCTTTTCGATACCTTTGCAGATGTTTCGACAAGTTGCACGACGTTGAATAATCGCAATGGAAAAGGAAAAACTCTAAAGCGTTTTATATATATATATATATATATATATATATATATATATATATATATGTATGTATATTCATATTTCCTGAATGAAACTTTATTCAATCGGATCGGAACAATCCCCTTTCATTGGAATAGCGCGATTTCATTTCTGCAATGGCTCTCGTCGCAACTCGTTGCGCACGGGCTATGTCGGGCTACGCGTACGCGGCAGGCAATACCAGGCAGCGCGGAAAAGGTTCCCGATTCCTGGACGATACCCCACCCTTTCGTTACGCCTCTATCTACCGCCTCGCCACCTGTGTACGGGTCGAACGAGAATGGGACCAGGACCCGCAGGCTGATACGAGAGTTGAAAAAGGAACGGTAGTGAGAGTCCAAGTCGGGAGGGAAAGGATTCCGAGCGCGCGCGCGCGCGCGCTCGCGCGGCCGATGCCGATGCCGCTTGAACGCGGGCACTTGGATGTGAAAGTAAGTAACTGTCTTGTACAGTTGACCGAAACTGCGCGTACCTGCATATACCTTGTCGGTTATCCGCGCGATCGTGCCATACCGTTCCAACATATTTCGCGGGATGCGCATATGACTCCGATCGAGCCTTTCCGTTCAAAGTACGTCGTCTGCAAAGAGAAACAAAATCGGTGTCGATTACTTCGCGTACTCCGTGCATCATCCGGCGCAACGTTTCACAATCGCGCGATGCAGCCCTCGACTTTCTTTACACTTATTCGTTGCTTTTATTCGAAATAATTTATAACGACAGAAACTTTTTCGCTCGTCAATTTGACTTTTCTCACCCTTTGCTTCAAGGATTCGATCGATCAACGGTACGTGTAATATTATGGCGATGAAACTTTAACTAAAAAGGAGAAAAAGAGGAAATAAGAGCGAGAGAAAAAGAAATGGAAGACAAAGGGCAGTAACGAGCAACAAGAAGTGAGAGATGTGACAACTTTTTGTGCAGTGGATCGATTATCGCTCCGATTGGATAATAAGGAAAGAAGAAAGAGAATTGGCTTCCAAGGCAAAGCGAAACTCTCTCTCTTTCTCTATCGAGCAAATTGGACGTCTCTCTTCGTACAAATGTTCCGGAGAGTGTTGTTTGGTACATATATGTTTTTTTTTTCTATAACTCGATATTAAAGTTTTCCGAGAGAAGAGTGCGTGGAGTGTGTGCGCGCGAATGATGTCGCGTAGATGATATATCTCGTAGTCTTATAGTTGTCCGCAAACTTGGGAGCTCGAAAACTTTGATTAAATCTTGAGACAAGTAGATAGTCGATGTACGATTGAAATATTCCGCGAAAATTGTTCCGACGAATCGATATCTTTTCAAAATGTTGTTGTTTCTTTATACACTCGTCACACGTTGCATACAAGTTTGTAAAGAAAATTTTACAATATTTACATAAATTGTGTTTCTTACTTGTACAGCGTGATTATGCGCGGATAAGTAAAATTAATAATATATAAATAAATCTCGAGTGCATTTTTGCTTACGTTGTTGAGGACAAATTATGTGACGAATCAAAGTGCTCGCGATAAGAGGGAAAAAGAGATTAGAGTGAGTGTATATTACTAATAAGAATAAATTAAATACGCACACATATGTACATACAATAAAGATAGGCGAAAAGAAAGAGAGAAGAAGAGAAAAGCGTGTGTGCAAAATCACGCATACATCATCGCTTATCAGATTTTCAATAAATTGATTTACTTGTAGAGATTGGCATTTTTCTTACGTGTCTATATATTGTATGTAACTGTGTGTTTACGTCTTCCAATGTAATTTGATTGAGATTTTTTTCATCGAAACTTAGAATCCGCAAGACTTTGTAATTATGAGACAATCGATACTCGTTATCGCGTGCTGCTTTTTGGGCTTTGTCTTAGCGGGAAGTCCTAGATTACCACGAACATCCGCCGATCAGCGCAGCACACGTAGCGCGAACCATAATAGCACCGGCGCTACGCTACAATCGTCTTCTCGCAATTTGCAACGAAATAGGTATGTCGATTGTATCCGTATTCGACTTTTCTTTCTTTATTTTTGAGGGCGGGGAACGGGAAAGAAGAAAGCTCGATGCTAACATTTTTTCTTATTTCGATTCGTGCGAAGAGTATAAGAGAATGAATTGAAATGAGAGAAGTATAGAAATGTTTTTCTTACGGATGGAAGAATTGGCAATTTTAAACTGCACTCATATATATATATATACTCTTTTTCAAAATTTGTCGATACTACTCCGCTACGAAACTTTCCACTTGTAATTGCTAGCTCGAGAATGCATTTTTCACATAATATCGTCATTATATTAATGGCATTAATATGCAATGATATAAATGTATCCATCCGATGAAGATGATTAAGAGCCGGTGGTAAATATATGATTCAACCCGCGATAGCGAGTTGATAATATTGAATAATTTTCCAATAGTAAAATGGTAACAGTCGTGCCAATTAATCATTCGAAATTATCAACGAGCATTCGCTTATTAATCATCACAACGTAAAAAGTTACAAATAACAATAGATTCTATCGTTTCGATAGATATATTCAATAACGTTGGAGTTTAAAGTAAATAATAGACAAAGTGAGTTAAATACAAAGAGATGCGATAATAAGTATTTATTGTTTGTTTTAGAGAACAATATCTTTTCAATGTTTTCGAAGTAATAGTATCAACTTTAGAGTCCAAGTTGCAACGAATCGAGAATTTAGATAAGGCGGTGGAACACTTGATGAGAAGAGTAGAAGCTTTAGATTCGCGCGTAAATGATAATATCGATAAAACGGATGCGGTTATTACTAAACTCAGAACGTTAGATCTGAAACTTTTCAATGCGTACCCTATTATGTCAACGGAAGCTATTCACGCAGCGAGAATTACCGAAAATAAAAGCCAAGATTACACCGAGGATAGTAAGTGTGCTATATTATATCGTATACATCTTAATTATGTATTTTGTTGTTTTGATTTCCTCTTTTATACACACACAATATAAAGATTTGAACGAAATATATTACGAAAATTAATTTCGAAAATCGTGAAACCGATTATTATTATATATTATATATTTATATGTATATGTGTGTGTGTGTGTGTGTGTGTGTGTGTGTGTGTGTGTATACATACACACACATATATATATATACAATACTTATTTTAGCTCCGCTGATACGTATAATTCATCATGATCAAAATCATCGGACTCCTGAAACGCTCGGTGAAAAGTTGGTCTCCTTGGATCAAAAAGTTTCCGATATCGATCATAAGCTTGTTAATCTGAAAAATCAGCTCGACAACAATTTCTTACAAAATGATGATATAAATGCTGAGGCGAGCGAAAAGAAACCTGTCAGTATGAGTGTCATCGAAATTACTAAAGCTATGAGTAACGAAGTGATGAACCATATGACGATTGAAATTGAGAATCTTAGGCAAGCGACAGGTAGTATGGATCGAAAACTTCAATTCCACATGAACTTGGTGTCGGATAATCTCGGGGCGTTATATAATATGGTTACCGATGTGCACGAGGCTATTGTCGAGAAAAATTACGGAAATGATCGACAAAATCATCTCAATCTAACAACGACCGAAGCTCCAACGAAGCAGAGTAAAATTGATCGTCTTGTCGAACAAATGTATCCGATGCTTACCGTTTCTGAAAAAATGGATCAAGTTTGGAATGTAGTGGTGAGTTTTGAATGCGTGAAAAGAAAATGTACATCGTGATATAAACGATTTGATAGCACGGTGCAAATTGCGATAATGGAATGATTAATAAATAGAAAATAAAATATGTTTATTTCGATCAACTTTTCGTGCGCAATGATATTAATATTAACAGCTTGGATATAATGCTAGATGGGAACCAAGAGTTCGGTGGATGACTTGCTGCCAAAATCTGACAAATTGCTTACTCAGACGCAAAGGCAAGAGAGGGCAATTAACGAAATTCATGCCGATTTAAGATCAAAAACGAATAAGATTATTGAGAATCTGGAGGGCGTCGAGAGCCGCTTGAGAAAACAAGAGGACGATGTGGCAACGTTAGCGCAACGTCCAATTCCGGCTGAATTGTTGTTAGATCCGACAATTGACCGGCTCGTTGAATATGATCCAAGCAGGTAAAAAATCCAGTCTTATTATTAAGTGCTTAGGGATTATAATAAGCATTTCAACGAGAAGGAGATTTAGCAATGGAAATGTAACGTGTAATACTGTTTTATAAGATAATTCGTGGCACAATTTGGCGCACAATTTTTTTTCCGTTCATTAAAATTATTTTCTAGCAAAAGAAATATCTTCGATAGATTGTACTTTTGTCTATATATACAAGTAATTCTTACATCGTTTATTCCAAGATACGTAACCGAAGATTTTGCAACGGAGATGCCCGCAACATCTATGCTGTCTACCGCGGCGCCACCCTTGTCGACTACAACATCAATATCGTCTGTCGCTTCACCCTCGAACAACCCTACCAATTCTACGACACCTATGACGGCAACATCTTCTTCCAATATTGCTAGATCGAGTAATAAAAATCGGGGAGTTATATTTCCCAGTGTTAAGAATAAACCAAGTTTCGCAAATTCTACCGCCTTTACAAGCGATGTATTAGTCAACTATAAGGATGTCAAGGTATTTATTAATTCATCGTGCTCTTAATTCACGCATTTGTCGAGGACATTAAATTAAGACTTTTAATTTTCCGCTATATTATTAATTTCTAGGGTTATTCTTGTGTGGATTTATTAAACGCAGGAATGAGAGATAGCGGAGTCTACTATTTGCAAATACGCGGTACGACATATTGGTTCCTCAAGGTTTATTGCGAACAGGAAATTGCCGATGGTGGTTGGACAGTGAGTTTATTATATGGGTGTGCGCGCGCGATATTAAATCGTATAGAAAAGGATAAGCACATCTCTTTAAATGTTAATTTAAATTACATAATGTCATTTATCGACCAAGATACGTATCGTATCGACATAGAGCATGGATGCGCCATTATCTACAAATAGTAGTCGGAAAAATTGAAAGAAATCTCTTTCTAAGCGTTGACTAAAAAGTAAGTTGGCCATTTTCATGTTTTATCCTTCTTCTTTGACGACCATTTTTACGTACGGATGGCATAGCATCCACGCTCTAGAACGGGCCATCTCTCGATAGTTTCGGCAATCGATAATAAATCGAGAATAAAATACAAAGTGTGAGCGGGAGACATGCCTACACGTATATTAAATCCACAGATTTTATTTACATTACGCGCATGCAATAAAATAATTATTTTGATTTAAAGATTATTCAGAGGAGGGATGATTTCGGAGAGCCAAGGGAGAATTTTAATAGAGATTGGGGAGATTATAAAAATGGATTTGGAGATCCTGCTAAAGAATTTTGGCTGGGCAATGAAAATATATACATGTTGACAAATAATGAAGATTATATGCTTCGAGTTGAACTTGAAGACTTCGAAGGTAACAAAAGGTATACACAAACTGAGATTGATAATGTTAACACTTGCTGAAGAATACCACTGCCAAGTTTTACAATTTGCAACTTGTTCATTGTGTAAATCCATGCTCAAATCCATCAAATAGTACACAATTGTAATTTAATTATAGATATGCTCAATATTCGCATTTTAAAATTTATTCAGAGGGAGAGTATTATAAATTAGAGATAGATGGATATGAGGGAAATGCTGGAGATTCGTTAAACGATCCTTGGTACGGATCAAACAATAGCCCATTCTCCACGTATAATAGGTAAGCGATACACACACGTAACACATTTATTACGTATAATGAAATACATCTTTGCACATTATATCATTGTAACGATACGCAAAATGTTTGCAACAATGCAACATGTCATTGCCACAAAAATGCATTGGATTTAGACTTTTTTTTATTTATGACTCTAGGGATAATGATAGATCATCTTTGAATTGCGCTTCGATGCTTAAAGGTGGTTGGTGGTGGAAATCTTGCGGACGCGGTTTGAATGGTCTTTATTTAAACGATCCGCAAGATCTTACTGCACGACAAGGTACGTTTATAACTTGCTACAGCAAACACACAATTGAGGAAAATTTTGTGTCGTATTAATTAATAATGGAATGAAAGCAGAGATTGTAAATAATGCAAGTCAAATGTGTGTTAAATTCTCTTCTTTGCATTTAGCAAATAAGAATCAGATTTTTCAATCGCTTATTATAATCATCATATTATTTCTAAAGGTATTGTCTGGTTCCGTTGGAGAGGTTGGGATTATACTCTAAAACGTGCACTAATGATGATTAAACCAAAAGGTCCAACAACAACGACGACAACAATAATGATATAAGCATTACAACATGTGTAAACTTCAAAACATTAACTTGATTGAAATCTCTCGCAATCATTAAATAATAATTTGCACATGTAGTACTTAAATTATGTACAATATTACAAATACACAAACATTTTATTATTTGACACAAAAATAGGTGCTTTCTCAATTATATTCGTTCACTCTGTATCTACAATTTTTAGAAAAGATTACGAGACTCAAATCTAATTTATAAAGTTACCATCGGACCATACCCTCTTTCCTTCTCTTCTTTAAATGGAATAGAATTGTGTGGCGGTGGAGGATTGCATTTCTATTTGTCCCATCTTAAATTGTAATCGATGCAACCATCGTAAGAGTACTGCATTTGATTCTCTTCGGTTTGAAACAAAATGTTCTGCCATTCTGCTTGGCGGGAAATCGCGGCAATTTTGCAAACGCATCTGTAAATGACCAGGTAGCTACAAAATATGATAAATCAAAATTAGTTAGTGTGCCTTATCTTTTTGTTCCAATTGTTCATCTTTATTAATGTGTTTTGTTTTTTTTACTTGAACATGATGAGAAAATAAAATAGCATTCCACAGAGGTAGTAATTTACTTAGCAGAATCGATCCGCATTCCAACAAAGCCTCCAATAAGCTCAAGAAATGCAAGTTGAGCATTTCAGATAGCTAAAAATAAAATCATCTCCATATATTTTTCATTCTCTATTCAAATTTATCTCAAATGTATCAATTTTAAACATCCAATGAATGATAAAGAACCTTGAGTGAAATAGTGTGTATTTAAAATCTGACTTACGGCTTTCGAATAAGAGACGAGTTGCAAAATACAAGGCGTTATCTTGCCCCAAAATTCTAACAAAATATTCATAGTAATATTGTGACTCTCGCTGTTTGATGCATTATTCTTGGACAGTTCTTCCAAATATATCGTCCAAAGCTGAAGCGAGACAAAACACTCTGTTACTTAATTTACCAAATATGCACGTGCGCGCGGACGATAATAAAGAGTGTATAAAGATATACAATAAAATGCGTGCGTACGTGTGTGTATGTGTGTGCGTGTGTGTGTGTGTGCGCGTGTGTGTGTATATATATATATATATATATATATATATATATATATTTAATTTATAAAATATATAATTAAATCTATATAATTTTACTAATAGTTACTTGACAAAGAATGAACGCATGAAAGAGCGACGACATATGGAGAACTGATGTTTTCGATTGTTCTGGAAATCCTGAGAAAATCATTTGTATATGATCGGCAATGTGACAAGACACTTCTTGAGGTATCGGTTGCGCCAACGGTATCGCTGAATGAGTAAGACTGTTCGTGTTGCCGGTATACATGGCCATGTGTGTCAGTGATCCCAGTAATAACCAAGACAAGAGTCTAATGTGACCGATACAATCGACGTATTCACGAGCACTAAAATATTTACACATTTGATCGACTTCCATAGTTAAAATCAAGATAATTAATTAATTTTAGATCAAATCTTACAGATATAAGAAAAAATAAGGGAAAGGGAAAATAGATGATTGCAATACGAAAAAAAAAAGAGCATACCCTTGTTGTATGGTAGATGGTGCGGTATATAACCATGGCAAGTAACGCGCGACGGCTCTATTCTCTCTGTTATTGCCCCTCGTAATTTCTAAAGCCACATATTGAGCAAGGCCGCACTTTAATATTCCACCCAATGTATCTTCGTTCAATCCAGCCTGCATACCTTTGTTATAACTCTAAGGAAAGAAAAAACTCTTCGAAAGAACGATACATATGCGCATGCAATGCGTGCGTGCGCGTACATACCTTGATTTTGCTTAAAGTGTGAAAATCAGCTAAAAATTCAAGGACATCCGACAACTGACTCTTTAGAGATTCAGAGGCGTTCGTATTGTAGATTGGCGACATATCCGTTTGAATATTATTTTCCATCGCGATGATAGTATTAGGCAAGGATCCTCCAATATCCTTATATTAATATTATTATATTAATATCTTTCGATTATATCTAAAGTTGAAAATTTTATGCGCGAGCGTTAGGTAAATGTCATAATTAATTACCTGAAGCACAAATTGAAGAAGTAATAGAAAATTTGAATCTGGTATTGTAATTTTAAATTTAATAGCCTGAATTAATTCGAATACAATTGTTCTTCCAAAAAAATGCTTATCACGATCACGAGTAAATCCTCTGTGACACAAGTAGCAGAGATCTGTTAAATTATTATACTGCAACGTTGAATTTTGTATGGCATAACTTAATACTTTGGAAAATGGGTCTAGCATTCCCTAAAAGAATGATTAAGCTATATCAATAATATTAAATATAATACGAGGATTATTTTATTTATTTTAATTAATAATCAAGAGAGGATAACTTTTGGCTTGCTTTGAAATTCTTTGACTTGATATACCTTTGATTGCTGAATCCCTGGCACCTTCAATATAGAAATTATAATTCGTAAGAGAGGAGTAATATCTTCAATGGAAGAAAGCATAAGAACGAGTCTGCGAAATAGTCCATCAAACTGTGCCAATAATCCGCTCCATGTGGCTGCACCCGGACCCAATCCTGCTTCCAACGGTAAGCAATCCAAGTAACACGCAATATTATACAATATTACCGGTAGGCGTTCCAAAGGCAATGATTTTTTCATATTTAATGTCTGAAATTGAAATTTGTAACTTAAAACAAGTACATAATCTTATAGTATAAAACTGTAAGTAATAATTGAAAATTGTATACAAAACCTATTTGCTTAATATACAATGTTTTCTTACCTCGAGCAACAATTGCAGAGGCGCAATGGGATTTAATTCGTTAAAATCGATTAAAGCTTGCGCGACGCTTTTAAAAAACTGCAATCTTGTCGTCTCTGAAATAAAAAAAAAAATAAAAAAGAAAGAGAAACAAAATAAAAGAAAGCATTACAGCAAGCAGAGAAAGGAAACTGTTGTTGTTCTTCTATTATTATTCAAAATCTTTCAGATATTGATGTTGAGATAGACGCATTGTAAAATTTGATTGATAATTTTAGTTGAAATAACTCTACTGCTTACATAAGCGATTAAATTGGTATTTAATCCTTACCGTTTAAATGAGTTTGAAACATTTGCATAAATACTCCATTAGGTGCTAATTGATGAAGAACGCATCTAAGAAACTGATGCGCTACGCTAACTGCACCACCTGGCAAATGCATATTTGTTTCGCTTTGCCAAGGATACATTGCGTAAAGTCCAACCCTGCATAAGAGTATTAGCATTAGAGTATTATTTATCATAAAAGCGGCGATAAAAATATCACATAAAAATATAATATTTTACTTGGTAACTACTCCAAGTATTTCCGGTAATAATGGTGCCGCTAAAGATGGTTCTCGATGAATAAACGTTCCTAAGGTTATTATACACAATCCGAGCTCCTCATCGGAATATTCTTCTCTTATTGTTCCACACTCTGAGCATCTGTATCATAGTCGATGGAATTCGATTCAATCAATACGATGTGGAATATAATAAATTAATAATAATTTAGCATGTCAAATTATACCTATCATAAACGCAATCGTCACCGATGCGAAATAAACTCTGCTTTAAATTGAAATCTGCATGATACACTTGTTGAGAGGCAAAGTCTAAATTTTGTTGGACTTGTGGACCAGACCTATCAGATGAAAGAACAATTTATCAGTTAAGGTATGATAATTATTTGAAATTATTAATCCGTATATTTAATCTTTTTTAAGTGCTAAAAGCACACTAGTTTTACATATAATGACGTGTTAGTACATTATATATATGCGAAAAATTTACCAGGACTCTGTCCGTCTCGCATGAGTAATCGCATCATGATCCGTTGTAGTTGTGATTTTTCGTATCCTGTCACGTTGAATACGAAATTGATCCCTCGATTTAATCTTTTGTTCATAATCTGCTACTTTTGAGAGAAAATCTCCGGAATCAACCGCTGGCGGAGACGATTCTAGAGCCACTTGTTTAATTAATCTTCTCGGACTTGGCGATCTACTCGAATTAATCTCATTGCATGTCGGTACAAGTGACGCTGACTGTAGACAAATATAAATTAATCGAATATAAGTGTTTACTTTTTTGCTAATTATATAACTTGATTATATCTTTCTATTAAAATTAATTATTTTATTCCCATTTCTACAAGTAATAAACGTTCGTTTTTTTCAATAAATTAAACGTATCAAACTTTAGTTTGGATCAATAAAAACGAGATAAACATTTTATTTTTGCAAATTGATCTCTTGTCTCAAAGGATTGCCTACCTTGTAAAAGTTAAAATTATATATTAAAGTCAATTTAAAATTTATTTTTAAAAAAGAAAAGGCTTATTACCATATTTTCGGATGTTCCGCTATCTTGCTTCATGAGTACCACATTATGAGTGTCAAGTTTTGCATTGTCATTCGATTTATTCGTATCTGAAAAAGAAAAATATTTCAAAGTATTTTTCATTTGCAAAGTATAATAAGTTATACATTCAGCAAAAAAAAGAAAACTTTCAAAATGCATGTCATGTACATCAGATTTTTTAAATAATATCTATGAATATCTATATATATCTATGAATAAACAATTAGAAGCTTTAATTAATTTAGCTAAAAATGTTTAAAAAATTTTAATTAATTTAAAGACCGCGCGGTACGGTAGAAAGATTATACACGATAATATGCACTCGCAGATATAAATTATATACTGTATTTATACTTTTGCATAGACATATAGAGATACGACAAAAGTAGTATTTTTTACAAATCACCCAGTCTTAGAAAATTAATGCTTATATACCTTCGATATCTGAGATATCAAGAGCTTGACGTACTCGTTCGACTAAATTAGAGAAATCTCTCTGAGAACCACCAACTGGCAGCAATCGTTCTGGCGTTGGAAACTCCAATTGAGAAATGCTATGTGGACTCGTAATGTCACTAGACACGCAAGTCTCACTATCTTGTTCAAATGAAGAACCTAAAAAAATGGAGAGAAAAAAGAATTACTTTTAAATTATAATTTTCTTTCCATTTTTTTTTGTCATTTTAAAAGTTTTACTCACTAACTGTCAAAATATCCATTTTGGATAATGGTGATTCAGGAGAGCCATATGTGTCTTCGCATTTTAATACACGTTGCGCAGTTCGCGATCCTATAAAGAAATCTTATTAAATAATGTATTCAATATATGTTATCATAATGTTACTGTAATGTTATAACAGCATAAAAACGTCAAATATTTTCATATGGATTTGAAATGGAACAATACACACTGCCTATAACAAAACCGAACCGCTACCGAAATTTAAAGTTATATACAAGAATATTTGAATATTTACATTTGATGTTCTACAAAGTTTAAAAAAATGACAGAATACTTTTTCATTTTTATTCCTACCATATCATGTGATAGGTGAATTGTTGATAATATGAATTGCTTACCAGTCGCGCGAATTATCGTACCAATTGGCAATAATCTTTCGATTGTTGGAGTAGTTATCAATGGTTGTGTACTAATTGGAAGACCACCTGTTTGTTGTCCATTCTCCATACTTATGATTTGCGATGATATAGAAGAACTCAGGGCTGGTGAACTCGAATGATCACTGTTGGTTACTGTAATCACTTGACAAGGTGAAACTGGCGATGTCGCTGTAATTGTGATCTGTTCAACATGCTTTTGTCGACCTAGATGCTTCGCATTTAGCGAATCGGTGTTATTGACGGTGTTAGTGCCTGCGATTTTTACAAACGCTTTATCCTCTTCCTTTTCCTTTTCTTTCTCTTTCTCCATTCTCTTTTCCTTGCTCTTTTCTTTATCCTTCTCTTTCTCTCTTTCTTTTTCATTCTCTTTCTCTTTTTCTTTTTCTTTCTTCTTTGGCAAATCGGATCTAAAAGTATAAAGTGTAAATGAGATATATAATTTTCATATATATTAATGAGACTAAATATTTCATTCTTAAAAATTGCATTGATAATACAATTAAAAAGATTCAATGTTTGACATAATATTATAGAATTAAGATAAAAAAACAATGTCCAGTATTAAAAATTAAGCTAGTGAAATGATGATCATCAAATTGGAAAGAGTTTCTAAAGAAATGTAGAGATTGTAAAAAAGAAGAGTGTGTACGAAAAAAGAAAAGAAATAATTTGTCCCAATTTATGATAAAGCAATTTAAAATCAGAGAGAGAGAGAGAGGAGGGGGGGAAAGAGAAGGAGGGGAGTTAGGAGGGGAGAGAGTTTTATGTTTTCATTGATAATTTATCGCTTGTAAAAAAAACAAACTTGGTTATTTTTCTTATTTTTATAGAAGTAGAAATCTTATTCTTTTATTTTTATACAAGTTACCTTTGAATGTGAGAAATGCTCGTAGCAAGGGCTAAGGCGCTTGACAGATCGTACGGTTTTGACGAGACAGTATCTCCATTATATGGCAAATGCCCTTTTCCATTCTTTAGCAGCGGTACAGTTGTTTTAGATTCGGATTTTGGAAGCTCTTGTTGTCCTGTTAAAAAGGTGCCTGTTACCATCATTTTTACTCCTTCGTACACGCTCCATTTTTTTTGATGTCCCGTTTTATTTCCCTGGAAAAGATAACATAAATTATTGATAACTTTTTATAGTTTTTTCAATCATGTAATGTTTTGCAAGTCTAATTTATTTATATATCTTGCTTCAACAGATATCAATTTCTTAATATTAATGTTTATAAAATAATGCTTTATTCTTTTTTTCTTTTTGCTTAAGGTATAATAATATTTATAATTAATATTTTTACAGATATATCAATTATAATTGGTACTTTGTTTTGTCATAAAGTACTGATTTATTTTAGTCACTTGATATTGGGTCTGTTTCTTCCAATAAATATCTTAATTAGATGCTAAACTAAATGTAAACATGTTGATTTTTGTAACAAGTATAATTACCTGATGAACTTCATCTTCGTTTCCTAAAAACCATATAGGTTTCGTCACAGATTCTATCCTCGATTTATTAATGTTTCGATTGTTTGATTCTGTTATACCTTTTCCATCCAATATAATCGATGTACGTGGCTCTTGAAGAAGCATATTTTGGGGAGCCGTATCTTCTAACTCGCCGAGAGATCCTCCACTGCTGTTATGTAAGGTGCTGTCAGATTTTGGACTTTCAGGAATCGCAGCAAGCTCAGACTCCGTATCATCCGCATTGATCGAATAACTTTGCAAAAACATTCAAAGTAATAACAAATTGTGACATTCCACCATTTGAGAACAGAAGCATAATAATAGCGTAATATATGTGATGTACCAATCTTATAAGTATTATCCGCGAGAAAGGGAAATATTGCAATATGTATTATAATATTATAGTACAAACAAAAAAGTGACAATCATTGAAAAGTGTACGTATATAAAAGTAATAGAATAATCTTTTATAAAACACACAAATATATATATATATATATATATATATATATATATATATATTGATATAAGAAATTGTACAATTGTAGTCGATTAATTTAGAAATTAATTTGTAATTTTGACATAATTATATTAATGCAAAACGAATTATCAATATATATATATATATATATATATTGATCAATATATATACATATATATATATATATATATATTGATAATTCATTTTGCATTTATATAATTATGTCAAAAGTACAAATTAATTTCTAAATTAATCGACTACAATTGTAAAATTTCTTGCTAATCATCACTTTTTCATGCAAAAATTAAATTGTTTCAAATGTGTGTGTAAAAAAGAGAGAGAGAGAGGGGGGGGGGCATCTGTACGCAAATGTACCGACCTAGTAAAATGTTTATTGAAATAACGACAAGCTGGACCATTATTTTCTTCCCAATGGGTCTCCATTTGTCCATGCATTCCTCCAGGACTCCGTTGATGCACTGAAACCATTGATGCGCGCATTGCCGAAGTTTCCGTGTCCATTTCCCCCATTGCATTCGTTGTTAACTCGTGTTCCACTCCGAGTGAGGGTTGAGACACATCTGAAAAATACTCGTACTCGTTCGTGTATAACACCAATTCATCCATGTAATACAATATGCATTTTTTCCTTAAAACTTTTTAAACTTTTACCACGTGATCTGGAAGGTGGCGCAGCCATAACTACAGTCGCTGGAATTCTTTTACATTGATGATGCTGGGTGTCGAGCGTATTCAACACTATCTTCACTAATACTTGAAGTTGATTACACCACGGTTGTTGTCCATATTGACACTAAAGAAAGAATTTATCATTCGTGTGAAAAAAATTTCGATCTATTTGCTCGCAAAGATATATTAATTTCACAAGTATATCATATAATTGTAACTTTCTGAAAAGAAATCGTCTTTTCACATTCTTTCATATATATTATAAACATGTATAATATACATATATTTTTAGCGTGTATTCTGAATAACACTATACTACTTTGTATAAGCTTTCTTCACCTTGTACAAAATAACAAGCAAAGACATCAACCAGGATCGCCTGATGTGTGGCTCTAAATACCAAAGACTATAACTCGGAGGTTGATGATCAGTAGGAGGAATAGATTGTGGAGGGCAAGGGCAATGTTGCAATATTGCTAAAACTGGCGGTGTCATTACCCAACCCATTACATGATTCTGGTCTAAGAGTTGTGGTAAGTTGGCGATAAAGACATTAAACACTGGTGACAGCCTACAATTTGACACATTTTATTGTTATAAATCTTATTAAATCGAGAGATGGAAATGACAAATATAAGCGCATCGATTTTATCAACTTTTAAACACATAAATCCAATTCATATAAGTTATCATGCACAAAGAAAAAATACAATTCTCAATTTTGTTGAGAAGTTTATCAAACTGTGCACAAAATCAATGTGCTTATATATATATATATGTGCATATATGTGTATAAAAATCTCACCTTAAACGTTGCGGAGAAGTATGGAAAGTGCGCTCAGTCTGATTATATCCTAAAAGAAGATACAAGTGCCGCAAAACTATGCCCTGTGTTTTTGATAGTGGCTTCTCATCCGTTGGATAAGCCTAATTAAATTGTGTCGATATGTAAATTTGTATACACAGAAAATTGAAAAAAATATATTATTCTTTTGAAATATTTGGAATTATGTATTTCTGTTGTTTAAATAAATTCACCTGATCTTGTCTCGAGAGAAATTGCATCAACAGAAAGATTAGCAAGTGCATTGTTTCTTTATCTGCTTCTTCAAGATCCACAATCTTGTGAGTGTATCCTGGTAATGTGCTAGCTTCATCAACCATGTTCAGTGAATGTATATGACCATCTGTAAGGTTTACCAATATTAACTTTATGTTTGCTCAACATGTTAATTTTAGGCAGATTGGAAAGAAAAAGAGGTCTACTGAATAAGAATAATGTAATATTAACTATTTCTCTAAATTTCCATCTATCTATCTATCTATCTATCTATCTATCTATCTATCTATCTATCTATCTATCTATCTATATATATAACAACAAAAAAACATGCACATCACATTTTACCTCAAAGGCTAGTTGAAGCGATATATGAAGGGAAAAAAGATTATTAACAAAGTTTTGTATTTTGAAAATATGAGGAAAATGTTTTCTCATATAGAGTACGTATAAGGGAGTTTCAGTATTTTTTTAATTCAAAAAATCTTTTTTCTCATATTTTCTTATCAACAATATTAAAAAAGAGAAATTCCTTTTAATCTAATCTAATATTTTTACAAGAAAAAAATTTACGAGACGAATTTGCAACATTGTTGAATCTTTATCATATTAATGATACAACGACAAAATATTTAGCCGAGTTTTCAGGCTTTCTCGATAGAAATCTATCGAAAACGATCTATAATCTTCAAACATACATTTGTGCGAGCATTATTAAGGCATTTCTACCAATTATGCGATTCTGCATTGCTACTTACCGTTCGATCTGTTCGATCTATTCGAACGATCCATCTGCAGTCGAATGCTTTAACATCCTTATAATACAAACGAGCAACATTTTTGCGCATATACACATATTTATGTCTCGTCTACAGCTACGCAGGCAACACACGCTACTCTACCTGGGATACTGTTATTAGGTGGGGTGGACCCCAACAACTGACCCAGTCCAAATCTCGAACTCTTCCTTTTCAAGATGGGCGCAGAATATTGTCGGCTGTACACCTTTTCCTTTTCTGCGTGAAAGATGCGGAAAACAAAAGAAAAAAAATAACACATAGTGTACAACATAATCTGTGGGGTGCGCGAAAAGGCGATAAAAGGAAGTTGTGAAGCACAGGGACGTTTATGTACATACCTTGTTTAGTGTCTTGTCGAGGTATCATCGATGCGGGCGCGGACATGGTGCGCTTATATGGCCATTTTGTGCCGAAACTCGCGCTCAGCGTTTTTACGGAACTTGTCCCGCTACCGTCCGATTGAGATAGTGCTTCGTGCGCGCGATGCAACTTTTTCATGAATACTTCGCTATTCAAATCTGTATTTTTTAGATCTGCGATGCAGGAAAACTCAATCAGCGACGATTGATATTGATATTTTACGCAAATACACAAAAAATCATGGTTCCTTGAAAAAGTCATGTATAAATAAAAAGCTGCAACACACATCTTCACATACTAACCGCGCAAATAAGCTATATCTCCCGATTTCTCCAAATTGATTTGGGCTTCGAGAAATAACGTATCGAATCGATTTAGAAAAAATTCCCATGTCAAGATCCGCCGATCGCTAAGGCTATTGTGTAGCTGATAAAGCGATTGCAATACCATCGGCCGGTCTACGATTACGGAATCGAATTGTGTCTCCAGGCATAAAATTAACGACTGAAATCATTATGTAAGAAATACGATTTAGATGTAATTAGATTCTTTGCTAAAGTCAAATGTTGGAAAGATAGATTCAGATCTCTTGAGAAAATTTAATTTTTTAACATTGAGAATATATGATAGATATGTATGTATTATGATTTATATATGTATAAATAACTTGTAAAAATTTGCCTCATTTAATATTAAGTCAAACATTTTAAAGCACACAAAAAAATTTAAAGGTAATAAAATTTACCCTGATTGCTGCATCATGAATAGTTCCGAGATATAAGGTTGCACGCTGTGCTACATATACATTATTGTCGTCCATGCTTGTAATCAAGTAACAAAATGCATTTGCTAATGCAGCTTGGAGACTCAATATATTTCGTAATGGCGTCGAGTCCATAAATCTTGCAATTAATGTAACACGCTCAACTGAAAAGAGGAGAAGAAAAAAAATATATATTTGTTTTTTCATTATTTACGACATTAATGATAAAAAGATGGCAAAGATCAATTTGCTCCAAATTATATGCGCGATTACCTGCAACGAATCTAACGCGCCAATCAGAATTGTGAAACTCTTCTTGTACGAGCCGCCAAAAAGTATCAGTGCCGCACGGTAATGTCACGCAATGTAATAATAATGGAACAGTTACTTGTGCTATATGTGAATGTTCTGCATTTAGGAGCTCCCATAAACTGTATAACAGTAAAAATCAAACAGTCAATGAAACAACTGAAACACATAATTCTCACGTGCACGTGATTATCTCCGTCATTATCGCGAGGAATATATTTCAAATAAAACATGTATATAGAAATAAAACATATATATATATATATAAACATACGCTACTTTTTTATCAACAAGTTTTCCTGGCACCATATGAAAAATCCTTGATGATCCTTCACCGCCATGTTAAATGCGTCGCCATATAAACACATTACATTCAAGCATTGCAACATATAATAAAGGATATCAGGTTTGTCAATTGTCATTATCTCCTGTAAACAAAATTTTCATTCGAAATAATATTTTTAATTTTACACCCACAGTCTCGGCTGATGTAATTAGAATTTATATAGTTGTAGGATTATTGTAATCAAACTTATTAAGTACTTGTAGAATTTGGGACGCATAATTATCGAGTAAATAAATAAGCAGAATTATCCATACAAGCAGTATATAATTTTTATTTTATAGTGCAATATATTACCTTCAATAGTTTATGAATATATTGAAGTTGTTCCGGCAGTTCTTCTATTGTAAAACGAAATTTCCCTACAGAGGTATGCCAAAAATCGTCTAAATCAGCTTCCGGGCTCAAGTTGACAGGCTCATCGTTTTCGCCAATCAAGTGGGGTTTTGCCACGCTTACCGTTGCAGTAGCTACAAACGTATGTACATTTATGTGTTTATTTATTATTATTAGGAGAAAATTGCTATTAATGTAATCAAATAATTATCATGTTCACAACGATATGTAAAGTATCCTCTTACCGACATCAGTTTCCGATAACGTGACCGTTCTCGCGACAGCGGACATGATCTTTTCCGTTGGCATTATAGCTGCGAGATCCAGCTGTTCCGAAACTGTCTCTACTGTGGCTGTCATAATCTGTTCGAAAAACTAACATAAACGATCAAAATAGCTAATCCGGTGACATAGATTAGCCTACCGTGTTTTGTGATCAGGCCGTGTCGCAGAAGAAGAGAGAAAGAGAGAAAGAGAGACACAGAGAGAGAGAGAGAAAGAGAGAGAAAAGCACACATATACGGACATATATAATAGACATAATTAAAATGGTTCGAGTTTAGCATGCGCTGCTTTTAATGGAAGGATTGTAAAATACGCAGCGCGCGATTATTTAAGACGACGATGACATTTGTGCCTCATTGCAAGATAAAATATATATATTTTTTTTTATTTAAAATCATGGAAATTTAATCCTCTCTCAACGAGACTAACGTGTTATTAGCGCTTGAATTTGAAAGAAAGTTTGTCATAATTATTAAGAATTTACTTATCAAGAAACACGTACGTGTGGCATGTGAACTAAAACTCCGCCTACAGAATGCATTTCTGGCACTGGCATATTGATAACTACATCCGGTTTCGAATCGCTCTTTTTTGTCGTTTCTGGTGAACTCTTACGACCATGATCTTCCGCGGTATCATCCACAATTGTCTGGAAAATAGAGATATATGGCAATGTATTAACTCGATCCATTTTCTTCACATTTATTCCTAAATAACATCAAGCTATGTTGAGACAGCGAGAAATAAATTTATAACATTCATAAATATATTTATTGCATTATGATAAAAATCTGAATAAATCGAATAAATTCAAGTTTTAACTAACATCGGGAGGATATGCCGGATTTTCCGGTGCCATGTACGTAATCAATTGCAGACACAACTGGTGCCAAATCACCCTCGACTCGCAATAAGTGCATTCTGTTTCCGATGCGTCGCATATGTGACAGTTATTCCAATTAGATGCAACTATAGATTTCATCAAGTGGCAAGCATCTCGGCAAACCCATGTATTAATACCAGTATGCTTATCCATATTTTGAAGTTCCATCTGCCAAGATTAGACTTTTCACACATTATTGTTTTTTTATTAAATGAAATTAAAAGATTTTTAATAATGCTAATACACAAGACGTAACATTTACACGAAATTTCCATCTCACCTGTTTTAGTAATATATCGAGCATAAGAATACAACAAGATAAATTGAGTTCGGCGTTCGTCGAAAATTCCATATGCCTTGGCGTTGGTACCATATCATCGGAAAGTGGTGTCGACTTTCCCGAGTCATTTTCTACTATGGAACCTAAATATTTTAAAAACATACTTTCAGAAATCACATAAATAGAATTTGCGATTGCGGTTGATGAAATATTCATATTATCTTTCATCATTCATTTCATCAAAATACTCATATATAATACTCGTACTTTTCATAATACTCAATTTTGTTAAAATACCTGCCTCGCAAATTTATATATTAAAACATTGCGAGAGGAGTATTTTAATATTATTGACATAATACATACTTTGGAACATGATACAACACAAATATGTATCACGATTATAGTTACATGTAACATTTCCATTATCGTTATCCTTTGCAGATTTACTTGGCTTTAATTCCGATTCTGCACAACTCATCGATTGCATCACGGCAATCCCATCACTGAATATTGAAAATAGTTGATCCAGGGGCATTGTTATTTCCAGCATAGTAAGCGTCTGTAGCCAATTAAGGGCCTGTTCTTGTACTTTTGCGCTCGTATTGACAAATCGCTTCGCTACAAAGTTGTACATCTTCTTTGTGTCAAATCCCAAAGAATTCATATCTCGATCCAAAATTTTGCTGTTTAAAAATAAGAAATTAAATACAAGAATGACTTTTTATTTAAAACTGGGAATTATAGGGAAGTGATCAAGATTACAAAAACAAAAACAAACGCTATATAATATACCTCAATATGATTTTTAATTCTTGAAGTTCGTGTTCGGGAACATCATTTACTACTGCTTCCATCCAATGCGGCATCACGTAATCCCATACATCGGGCGTAATCACTTCGTACGGTACCAAACAAAATAATCGATGTAATCCGTCTTTCAAATGCGACGTTCGTGAAGCCAAGGTTTCCCTTTCGCAAATGGCATTAATTATATTATAATTATGTAACGTATTCTCTAACCGTTAATAATAATCACATCATCTGTACAGTAGCAAAATCAAAAGGAAATAGATTTTCACGCATTTGTAACTTTAAATTTTTTACATGCACACGCACACGCACCTAAATATGTATGTAAATAGAAAATAATTTTATTTATAGTTGTGTGTAAAGATTTTTCTCATTTTTTATCTTTATCACAAGCAAAAATAAAAATTTCTTACCAATGACCCCCAACTCTGACGTAATCTGCGGGATGCGGTAAAAGACAGGAAATGAATACTTCATAATGAGTCTTCATAACTTCCGAAAGCCAGCCACAGACGTGTTCTGTTTTTAATTTCTCGAGCGCGCTTTCCGCTTGGCCTGAAATATTTTCAATCAATCGAAAAATTAATTATAACAAAATAAAAATGTTAAAGTGAAGAATTCAAAGATGCTATTGTAATTTATCATTAGACTATCGATATATAACGTCACAAGATACGATCGAAACACATAAACAAATTCGACATTTCCTGAATTTATTACACAACAATTCGAAGCTATCTTCCTCAAGGTATTCAAAGTATATTTGAGCGCAAATTTCAAATGTGTGTCGAGTCGTGTGCAGGCAACTACACTTTTTATATTGACTTTACGTACAGTCAATATTATCAATAAATTCTTGAATTAATGTCTAATCTATATACTTAATCTTTAAAACGAAATAGATTAAATTCGGCTAAATATTTCGTTAGGCGCATTTCTGGCCTATTTTTCAAACAATTTTCATGTCGACTTTTCACTATAACTTTTCATAACATTTAAGATTTTTCTTGGAGCATAAAAAAATGCGTATGTCATATATGGCATATGTATCGAAACATGTATATGGAGGGAAAAAAAAGGGGGAAAAAATATGCTTATTACATTTTATACATATTTAGCCGAGATACCGTCGCTCTATCACCTACGTCTGGCTACGTCTACTTGAGTAAGTGTATATATGCAAAGTGTTAAATTACCAACAGAAAAGATAAGGTGTATAAGTCTTTTTTCAATACCATCGAAACAGTAGGCAGTGACATGAAACCAATGAAATAACATTGATAATAAACGGCCCAGTATTTCAACCGGGGTATCCTCATTAGGAGTACAAAGTCCAACAAGCAGCCATACGCCATATCTGCCGAGAAGTTGTCGTTCTTCTAAACTTGTAGGATCGCAGTGACTCCCGAAGGTACTTCCGATAGCTCCACCGCCGCCAACGCTACCTCCTGAGAATCCTATGCCTCCCTTGTTGACAGCACTCATTTCTGTCACATCCCGATTACTATCGATATTTTGCGGTTCAGCTTCTTTAAGTAAACTATAAAGTGTGAAAGGATCACGTGATTTTGCCAAATTGAGCCAAATTATCGGATAAAATGTGAGAAATATCTTCAATGATTAAAATGGCGCTTGCCTGACAATCGCTTGAACCATATAAGTTTGCGTTTGCGAGTCCAGCTGCGAGATGTGTGGAAGCGCCATGTGATAAACATGATCACCGCCACGACGATTATTGTGACGAATATTGTGACATTGCTGACAATATCGTATAGGATGATTTCCATTGTAACTCGCGCATTCAGTCGAAAAACAAATGCTGATGGCTGATTTGTCAGCTGCCCTACAATTCTAAGGATAAAAACAATAAAAATTAATCCACTTGATACGAATATTACTTTAAATATTCAACAAGCATTTATTGTCGCACGAATACATAACAATAATACAAACACACACACACACGCACACGCACACACACAGGGTGTTTCAGACCCCCCTACCACCCATTTAAAACCTAGAAAAGTGGTTATTTAAAAAAATAAAAACATTTTCTTGATAAATCGGGTGCGTTCTATCGAATGGTGGTATTTTCAACTTCTAGTTCTGGCCGGAAATAGGCGATTCAGACCGGAAGTGCATTTTTTTAAATCAAACCCCCTATTTTTCATTGCATATTCTTGTAGCTTACCTCGAGAGCTTTCCAAAACACTATAATAAATTTTTTTTTCATGAAGTACTTTTCGAGTTATGAGGCTTGAAATCATTTCTTAATTTTTCAACATAAACCATAAACGGATGATCTGAAACACCCTCTGTGTGTGTGTGTGTGTGTGTGTGTGTGTGTGTGTGTGTATACATACATTTATATGTATTTGTTTGACTCAATATGCTTACCTTATTTTCGCAAATCATGGACACTTGTTGCATCGGATGTAAAATATCGTAAAACATTTGATTCGGATGCTCTCGATGGATTTCGTTCGCGCATTCGATACAAAGATAAAGAGGTGGTGGAGATTCAGTACCAAATGTAATGGAAATGCGATGATCGTAACAAACTTTACCAGCTTCCGCATTGCCGGCATTCGGACAACTGTCCCGTTGACATACAAACGGAGTAAGATCGTCTAAAATATAAGTGAGCGAAATGTTTAACATCTCGTTTCATTCCAGAAATATTATATCTTGTCTGTTGTACACATACATTGAATATGCATCATAATAAAATTATAATAATTGATAATAATTAATCTCCCCTATGTAGAAAAGTAAGAAAAAAAATAATATGTGTGTGTGTGTGTGTATACGCGCGAGAGTATGTATACATGTATGTATGTACGTGTATATATGTATGTATCTACGCGTATATATGTATGTATGTATGTATGTATGTACGAGGTCCGTAAATAAAGTAATGAGACTTTTTCGAGATAAACTTTTTTTATAATTTAACTATAATTTAACTCTGTCTCCTTCAAAATAGTTCCCTCGGGAAGCCACGCAGCGCCTGAGACGTTGTTTTCAGTCTTTAAAGCAGTGCTGGAACTCAGAAACACGAATAGCCTTCAGCTGGTCGGCTACAGCCGCTTTTACGTTTTCGGTCGTATCAAAGTCATGTCCTTTAAGATGAGTTTTCAATCTCGGGAAGAGAAAGAAGTCACAGGGACTCAGGTCAGGCGAATACGGGGACTGGGGGACGACAGAAATGTTTTTCTGTGCTTTCGATTACGGAGTTTTTGGCACGGAAAAACATTTCTGCCGTTCCCCAGCCCCCGTATTCGCCTGACCTGAGCCCGACCTGTGATTTCTTTCTCTTCCCGAGATTGAAAACTCATCTCAAAGGACACCACTTTGATACGACCGAAAACGTAAAAGCGGCTGTAACCGACCAGCTAAAGGCCATTCGGGTTTCTGAGTTCCAGCACTGCTATGAAGACTGGAAACAACGTCTCAGGCGCTGCGTGGCTTCCCAAGTGAACTATTTTGAAGGAGACAGAGTTAAATTACAGTTAAATTATAAATAAAAGTTCATCTCGAAAAAGTCTCATTATTTTATTTATAGACCTCGTATGTATGTATGTATGTAATACTTACTCGCAAATTTTACCAATACAGCACGGCGGTCAAATAAATTTGGATTGAAGGACGGCCAATAATAAAAGAGCAATTTTGCAGCCGATGCTCTTGCAGATGCAGTACCATAAGCGATAACGCAAAGTATGTCTTTTACAACTCCTGGTTTCAAAGCCATTAGGCATTCCAGCAATTGACAATGATGTGCTACAAGAGGACATGGTTACTTATCTACATATTATACAACTATAAATTTTACATATATTCCTCTCACATATGTATACAAAATTTTTTATAAGAATCTGCTGAAAAATTTTAAGATGCTGACATGCAATATAAACAATCCAACAATTTTAATCTTTAATTTTATAAATTGCATACATTTTAAATAAATGTTATACATTTTTTCCATTTATATATGCATGTGTAAGAATACCTGGATTATTAGAATACTGAAACACCATCATTATAACAGCAGCCACTGATTGACTAGCAGCATTTTTGTCACTAGCTTCAATTCTTCTTGCTGAAAAAAATTAAAAATATCCATTATATGTAACATTAATACATTTCCTCTTTTCTCTATTGTCCATTAATCACATCTATTTAATATTTGATGGATACTGTGTTATAAAAGTGTTAAATTTATTTAAAAGTTATAAAATTATACTAATTCTAAAATAATATGAATTATTCTACAAACTATCAACCTGTTTCTTACTTGCTAGTGGACAAATTTCTTGTTCAATGAAGAAAATATAAAATTTTCCTTGTGAATTCAATCTCTCTCAAATGTTATTCTCTCTTGAAGAGAGAAATGAATGTGCTTGTCATATAATATATGAATATCAATGATATTGCTACAAATATATAATGAAAGTACTTACTGATAGTAAATGGCAAAATGTAAAAACAGAGGTAGTTGACAATTTCTTCATGCAGTTCCATAGGAAGTACCGATATTGTACTAGCAGTTAAGTACGATAAATTGTCAATCAGGTCATGATCGAGGAATGGCAACAGGCATGCTAGACATTGCAACAAAGCTTTTCCAAATGCTACAAAATAAATATTAATATTTTTATTGTGCATGTGTGTGTGTTAAATTATATGCGTATATGCACTGTTTGACAAGGTCAATATTATTTAAGAAATGAAAAAACAAAAACTATTATGTTTATACAATCATAATCTGCAATATTTATTATTAATTAATAAAGATACATGTGAAGTATTTATTTAAGAAAAATCAATTATTATTTTTAATCACTACTAATTAATAATGACAGCATGAAAAGATATATGTATATATAAATATATATACACCACACACACACACACACACACACACACACACACACACACACACACACACACACACACACACACACACACACACACACACACACACACATATATATGTGTGTACACACCTTGTAAACCAATGTGAATCAATGGTACAACATCAATTAATTGTGTCAATGCATTGTAAAGTTGCTTGTAATCTAAATTTGGATACAATGCCATTCGTTCTCCATCAAACTGTTGTGATTTGATCATTTCAAATGGTGATTCGCGCACTTCTTTTAACAGAGCTGAAAAAATTTTAATCTCGTTAAATTATTAAATGGATTATAGATAAAATAATAAAATATATCAAGAAACATTACATTATCAAAGTACACACACATGTGTACATATATATATACACATATGTACACAGGAAAACATATATTTATTATAATTTGATGTATACAGCCACTTACATAGCAAAGTTTGAGAAAAATATTTCAGCGTGTTTGCAATGTCCAAGCCGGAAGGCATCGGCTGAGTTCCATGAAGTAGCCGTTGATAATAATCATGTAGACTGGTCAGCTTTAAACTGTCTATAATTTAAAATTTTGATATATATGTAAAAATTGCTTCCATTATAAATATATATTGAAAATCGATCAGAATACATTACATTATAAGATTCATATAAATTATAAATGGATTTTTAGAATTTATCAATAAATACAAAGTAATATATATCAAGTGTGATAATTACAGGCTGCAAATCTAGTTCCCATCGTATAGATTCACCTAAACAAACTTTTTATTCTTACACACACTATATACAAGTATGGTCAAACGATTTTAGCTCACACAACTGATATCTAATAAATAATTAACTTAAATGTGCCAATTGTCGAAAAGATTGATCGTTAAACGATAACATTTTTGACAATTCTTTGACGCTTATAACAATCAAAAACAACCCACTTTCACACTTTACCGACCCTATCGAGCCTACGAGCGATCGAAAAATTCTGCCTCTATGCGCATGCGTAATGGTGCGGTCCCATGATACGGAACGTATGCGCAATGCGGAATTGGCGGAACGAAGTTCGTTCAATCACAGACATTCCGTCAATTGCGTTCCGTTAAAATATATTTTCTTATGTCCCATGGAGCGGAAAACGCGGAAGCGCAATTGGTGTTGGCCAATCACAAGATTCTTTCCCATAGATTTTTTTGTTGTCTATATCGGAACAGCGTACATTATTGGCTCGCGCAAATTACGCTTCCTTATTTTCCGCTGCATGGAACATAGGAAATACAAATTGTAACGATGCATTCCGGTGCATTATACCGTCACGCGCCGACGCGGGCAATTAGCTCGTATAAAAAGGGCCACATTTTTAACTCTAGACACATTTTTCCAATCCGCTTGAAGCAGTACGCTTCCAAAAGCAATCCTCGAGAAATCCTATCAAACGCACAGAAAGAGCTGAAGACAGAGGTGGAGCGTGCTCCGTCTCCGAACGAGAGTTCTCGATTCTGACGCCAAAAGTGCAATCCGCCTAATCCGCAGTTGCAACCCTCACGGAAGGTGGAGCTTGAGCCGCCCCGGATCGGGAGTTACCGATCCAGCTGCATCGCGCAATCCATCCTTCGCGAAATAAAAACCAGGGTTATACGCACCGAACATCGTTGCACGCATCACCTGCAATTCCGCGAGCGCATCTAGAAACGAACGCGTAAACACCGCCGCGTTCAAGCGCATACGCGATTTATACGCGGACTTTAAATCGCGAAATAAATATTACGGCGAAAATCACCGTCGATTCCGAGAACCGAAGCATTCTCGGAATCTCGGGATTCCCCGCAGAAAAAGCGCCGCAAAAACGCGCGCCGTCTCGCGCGATCGTAAACATCTGCCGGCGTGCGAAAACGAGGCCGAATATTAATGCTGATTAATTTCGGCCTAATTACGCGAACCACGCGATTTATATCCGAGCTGTTATAATCACGCACACGCTCACACACTCGTCCACTCATTTACACACTCTAACACTGTACACATATTCATTCAAACGCAATAAACGCAATTATACCACACACACCGCGTATTTCATTCAACGAAACCTACCACCGGCGATCTATCCGCGCTAAGAAAAACGTCCGGAAATACGACCGTCACAAAATTTATGCGGATCGGATTCACACATATATGTCAAAAAATTCATGAATTTCATATATAACTTTCAAAACTGACAACAACTTAATATTGAATATGGATTCTGAAAAATTGTTTATTATTATTTGTGGATTGTTAAGTAAATTAAAACAAAGTTGGTGTATATTTAAAAAGAATGAATTACGCCATAAGATTATAAAATTATATTCATTGTATATAATTGTAAAAAAAAATGAAAATATTAAAAAACGACGAAAATATTGGATGCGACCTATATTCAGCTTAGAAAGAAAATTCCAACAAGGAGCAAGTGAGAATATTGTAAAGGAAATGCTGATCGAAGACACAGAAAAATATATGGATTATTTTAGAATGGCACCTCAATTATTTGACGCATTATTAGCATTAGTTGGACCATTCCTTGTTACACTCTTATTTAAAATATTTTTTAATAATATTCTTACGGATATCTGCTGTTTCGACATTTTTCATCATACACACAATTTCGAAGTTCCGCACAAAATGTGTATAAAATAGAGGGTGCTTTCCAGCTATGGTAACACAGTGATACACTGTGTGACACAGTGTTACACAATGGGTGCTTTCCATTTAGCGACACAAATCGACACAAGTGTCATTCTATCTTTGTTTATTGTTATTCATTGAAAAAAGATAGAATGACATTTGTGTCGACTTGTGTCGCTAAATGGAAAGCACCCAATGTCAACTTGTAGCTGGAACGCTTTTTAGCTTTTTTATTTTGCCACTAGAGTGCAGGGCAGTCACTTTTAATAGTTGTCACTAGGTCTAAATTTTCAGAACGTTCCCACACAACATTATGTCGTCTTAAAGACGTCTAGATGTCTTTAAGTCGTCTTTTGATGTCTTTTGGACGCAATATCACGCAATACCATTCTTAAAAAAAATTAATGATACCAAATATGAAATGTTATGTTGGCACTCACTGGGGTGCTACAAAACGACGACATAGGCGAACACAGCATTTTTGCTGTGTACGATTGTGTCGACTTGTGTCGTAGTTGGAAAGCACCTGTGTCGACACTGTAGCGACACAGTGTCGCCTGTGTTGCTTGCTGGAAAGCACCCAGAAACTTGCGGATAGAAATCGGCGGAACAGACGTAAAACAGGTTAAACCAATCACGAGCGTTCCGCCAATTCCGCATTGCGCATACGTTCCATATCATGGGACCGCACCATAAGGCCCGTTCTACAATGAGTTGTAAGTCGTAAATCATAGGCAAATTGACCAATCATGGGCCGGTATTCATATGCCGGTATTCATAGTCCGATCTTATATTTGAGATCGTCTTATGGCGCGGTCCCATGATACGGAACGTATGCGCAATGCGGAATTGGCGGAACGCTCGTGATTGGTTTAACCTGTTTTACGTCTGTTCCGCCGATTTCTATCCGCAAGTTTCTATTTTATACACATTTTGTGCGGAACTTCAAAATTGTGTGTATGATGAAAAATGTCGAAACAGCAGATATACGTAAGAATATTATTAAAAAATATTTTAAATAAGAGTGTAACAAGGAATGGTCCAACTAATGCTAATAATGCGTCAAATAATTGAGGTACCATTCTAAAATAATCCATATATTTTTCTGTGTCTTCATCAGCATTTCCTTTACAATATTCTCACTTGCTCCTTGTTGGAATCTTCTTTCTAAGCTGAATATAGGTCGCATCCAATATTTTCGTCGTTTTTTAATATTTTCATTTCTTTTTACAATTATATACAATGAATATAATTTTATAATTTTACGGCGTAATTCATTCTTTTTAAATATACACCAACTTTGTTTTAATTTACTTAACAATCCACAAATAATAATAAACAATTTTTCAGAATCCATATTCAATATTAAGTTGTTGTCAGTTTTGAAAGTTATATACGAAATTCATGAATTTTTTGACATATATGTGTGAATCCGATCCGCATAAATTTGTATTTCCTATGTCCCATGCAGCGGAAAATACGGAAGCGTAATTTGCGCGAGCCAATAATGTACGTTGTTCCGATATAGACAACAAAAAAATCTATGGGAAAGAATCTTGTGATTGGCCAACACCAATTGCGCTTCCGCGTTTTCCGCTCCATGGGACATAAGAAAATATATTTCAACGGAACGCAATTGACGGAATGTCTGTGATTGAACGAACTTCGTTCCGCCAATTCCGCATTGCGCATACGTTCCGTATCATGGGACCGCACCATTAAGTTCGAGCTTGAAATGCTACTCAGCTATTTGATTGGTTGAATGAGGTCTTAAGTCAACCTCCAAGCAGACTTAAGACGATCTTAAATATAAGATCGGACTATGAATACCGGCCATAGTCCGATCTTATATTTGAGATCGTCTTAAGTTCGAGCTTGAAATGCTACGCAGCTATTTGATTGGTTGAATGAGGTCTTAAGTCAACCTCGGACCAGACTTAATACGATCTTAAATATAAGATCGGACTATGAATACCGGCCACAGTCCGATCTTATATTTAGGCTGATAGCAGAGAACTAGACATGAGCGCTTACGTCTGTCGTAGTCGTGGCGTAAAGTAAGGGCCTCCGCACAAGGTGTTCCGTATCGCATTACGTTACGTTAAGTATAGATCGTAAATTTAACTCCGTACGTAAACTTAGGGTGCTTTCCAGCTATGGTAACACAGTGATACACTGTGTGACACAGTGTTAGGGCCTATCCAGACAAACTTGCATAGGTGCATATGCATAACATAAGACCACATGGACCAATGAGCATCGAGTATTATGTTATATAAGTCAATATGGCGACTTAATACTCGATGCTCATTGGTCCATATGATCTTATGTTATGCATATGCACTTATGCAACTTTGTCTGGATAGGCCCTTACACAGTGTCGACTTATAGCTGGAACGCTTTTTAGCTTTCTTATTTTGCCACTAGAGTGCAGGGCAGTCACTTTTAATAATTGTCACTAGGTCTAAATTTTCAGAACGTTCCCATACAACATTATGTCGTCTTAAAGACGTCTAGATGTCTTTAAGTCGTCTTTTTAGCGAATATAAAAGTTTGGTTATCTTCTATCACGCAATATCACGCAATACCATTCTTAAAAAAATTAATGATATCAAATATGAAATGTTAAGTGGGCACTCACTGGGGTGCTACAAAACGACGACACAGGCGAACACAGCATTTTTGCTGTGTACGATTGTGTCGACTTGTGTCGTAGTTTGAAAGCACCTGTATCGACACTGTAGCGACACAGTGTCGCCTGTGTTGCTTGCTGGAAAGCACCCTTAAACTTCAGTCAACGCACAGAAAAAATCGTAACGTAATGTCGTTTTGACGGTTTTAGCGCTGAAAGATCACTCTATCTTCGTTTGATATTCGATGTGCAATAAAAACAGAATGATGCTCATAGCGCGTAAGCGTACAAAGCGAACGCAGCCTAGATGCAACATTAGATGCGCATAAAAGATTCTTTCCCATATGCCTCATATAGTTTTCTCGCGTTTTTTAGTAGCCGTAATAACGCGTAATGTGTTATATACAAAGTGTATTATTATATTTAATGTATTTAATTTCTTTGATAGAAATTTTCTTCTCTCCTTGCAATTTAATATTTTTTTCGCACTGAGGGGAGTCTGACGGTACCTTATATTTCATCAAAATACATACGTTACTGAGAATTCATAGCGTTTGCTAATGCGCATGCGCGACTTTATTCCCACAATAGCGCATCACTGGCCGCATTCAGCGGACTCAACATTACTAGATTTTCCGATGTAATTCGACGCTGATTGGTCAGACCTAAAAGTAGAATAACCAATTATATTCGATTGTTACTTAGCGGTTGAATCCGCTGAATGCGACCACTGTTCCAATTTCCTCGCAGAAAAATGGAACCAGTGCTACCAAATTATGAAATGTAATGGCGTATTCGAATGATCGAGGGTACTTTCCAATTCACGCATGATGCGCATGAAGTGACAGAAAATGTATAATATGTGTGACATAAACTATATATTTTCTGTCATTTTATGCACATCATGTGTGAATCGGAAAGTACCCTGAGTTTGACCCGTAGTTTACTAAATTCATTGGTCGCATTCAGCGGACTCAGGCCCAGTTCCACAATCCAGTTAATTCGAGTTTAAGTAGTGAATGGACCAATCAGCACCCAGTTTAACGTATTAAACTCGGATTAATTCAAATTGTGAAACCGGGTCTTAATCGCTAAGTAGCAATTGAATGTGATTGGTCTCTACTTTCAGATCCGACCAATCAGCGTCGAGTTACATCGGAAAATCTAGTAATGTTGCCCAACTGTTGAGTCTGCTGAATGTGGCCAATCACAGCTATTTTTCTGAAGAATGTAACCTTACATTCTTCAGAAGAATGGCTGCGGTTGATCAATGACGTCTAGTAAACTACTCTGGGTCGGGTCAAACTCGACCCATTCGAAAATGCCATAAGAATCACGAAAGTCGAGTATTCTCTTAATACTTGACTGTGATTGGTCAATTTCTTAAGTCTTACGTCTTAAGTCTCCTTAAAATCTCATTGTAGACGCCGTTTTAAATAAAAGCCAAAAATCATTTTAGTAATTTCTGGAGAAATTTTCCCAGAAGATACCAAATAAAACTCGACGGTCATTGGCTGCATTCAGCGGTTTCGAGACAACATTACTAGATTTTCCGATGTAATTCGACGCTGATTGGCCGGATCTAAAAGTAGAAACCAATCATATTCGATTGCTACTCGGCGGTTTAGTCCGATGTATGCGGCCATTATCTTGTCGGTGCCTGTAATCACGCGTAGTGCTTTTTTTTCAATTTTTCAATTACACTAATTCCCGCAAAGTTGGCCGTCTTTTTAATAATATCTCGTCGAGGGAGAATGCAATATGGCTGCGGCGAGAGTTCGATTGGATAAGATGATGAAAAATAGCATGCAGAGTAATATTAAATTTTAGTGAAATGTTTACTTGTTCCGGTTGTGTAGAATGGGAGGTTGCATAGGTATAACTAGGGCAAGAAATGCCTCCGTTAACGATACATCAGAAAATTCGACGAGAACTAATTCGGGTGAGAGATTGTATGGTGTACACAAGACATTCGAATCTATCAGAAATAAAAAAATTAAAAAAAATTATATATATATATGAAACATCAATTAACCTTGAAATTACTTTATTTTTGTCTCCATACTTGAGATACATGTCATCTAAGTGCATTTATCTCTGTTCAATTATCAAATGCAATATCTATAAAAGTAGAATTTAATACCCACACACACACACATGCATACATACACACACACACACACAACATATATATATATGTATATATAATTATATACATATGTATGTATGTGTATATAAAACTTGTATATTTATACAAACATATGTGCGTGTTTATACATGTATTTCATTACACAGATTAGATATGCAGTAATTATTTAGGATATTTAGGATATTTAATAACTTTATTTTTGCAAAATATAAATGGAAAATGATTGTAAATGAAAATTATTGGAAACTTTTGTATATCAAAGTTGTTTTATGGCAGTACTTTTTAATTTATATATTGTAAAATTGAGATTTGATTCAATTCATTAGTCATATTACTAGCAAATGCAATTTTGAAGTATATATGCCCAAGTAGTTGTATAAATTTGTATACAACTATAATAAAGGAAGAAGGAACTTTAAAAGATTACATTTTTTATACATCAGAAAATTTTCTAAATTTTTGTATTGTCCAACTAATAACACACTATGAATGAGTGTAATGTTGTAATATACATTTCTCTGCTGTATACTATTATTTGTGAAAGCAAAGATATGTGTGTGTGTAAAATTGAAGCTATGTATGTATTAATACATACATTTTGAGATAAATTGACTTTGTATACTCTTGTTTCTGTAGGAAATACGAGAAAAAATCATCTCCTATGTCATGAGGTAATCAGATGGAAATCAGATGTACCTTTAACCGAAGGTCAATTAAGAAGTAAGCGAGATGAGTTTTGGGACACTGCACCAGCGTTTGACGGCCGCAAGGAGATTTGGGATGCATTGAGGGCAGGCGCAACTGCAGCAGAAGCACAGGATTATCAGTTGGCACAGGCTATATTAGACGGAGCAAATATTTCCGTGCCAAGTGGTTTCTTAACAGAATGTTATGACGAATTGGGAACTCGTTATCAAGTACCTATTTATTGTTTATCCTATCCAATTAATATTGTAAAGGAAGACAGTGGAAGAGATTCACCTGCTGATTGTTCAGGTAATAAAAATTTGTAGAAACTTGGCTATAAAGTATATTTTGTGAGAATTTAATTGAATTTTACTCTTTATTACTTTCATTAATTTTGTTTAGAACCAGTTGATGAAGGTACAGAACAAACTTTGAAGCTTCGACTATCGACAACCTTAGGAGAAGTTAAACTACCTGTTTATAGCAATGACACTATTGCTATAGCAAAGAAAAAATTACAAGTTAGTACAGTATCAATGATATCTATAATAATTTTGTGTGTTACACGTGTATGCATATGTTATATATGACAATAATCATTATTAATAATAATTATAATCCTCATAGAATCAAGAAGGTTTGGAACCATCGCGTCAGAGGTGGTTTTTCGGTGGTAAATTATTGGGTGATAAAATGCATATAGAAGAAGCAAAAGTGCAACCAGGTTATGTAATACAAGTAATTGTAAATCCAGAAAAAATGGAGAACGACTGTGCAAAAGCTAGCTGAAGAATTTGTGTATAAAAGTGACAAAAAGAACATGTATGTTATGTTCAATCAGCAACCGATAGACTTACTTTTACTCTTTGACAAAATTCACATTAATTGCACGTCAATGTATATATATGTATTTTTTTTAACTGTTTATATTTTTTATCGTTTAACTACAAACATTGGTAAAAGTGATAATTATTTTAAGACAATTTGGGCATAACAGAGTTTTGCAGTATAAATTTGTATTTAGTGAAATCATGAATTAAGTGCAATTACACTTTTGTTATTACATTTTGTTATATTTATTCACATAAATTATTGTGCAATGTAAAAAAAATATGTAAGAATAGCATTTAAACGAGGAGAAAGAACACACAGAGAGAGAGAGAGAGAGAAGGAGAATGCAGATATCAAGTACAGAAGCATATCTTTACAAATTTGTTTATTTTCAATGATATGCTACAAGCAAATTGACTGAAAAAAAATACATTTATTTATATTTGAGTAAAATATATAAGCATTATTTTCTATAATTTATGTCTTATAATACAAAAAATCTTTTTCACGCATTACAATTGCAAAAGTTATTGTATAAAAGTTAAATATTGAATTGTACATTTAAATAGAATGACCACTTGAGGTAATGTTTCAAATAATATAATTAAAAATATATAATATATAGGATATATTATTGTTTTTGCAAAATGAGAGGAACTTTGATTCTACTTGTGTCATTGTTATATTACATTATTTACAAAGGCAAAGTGTATACCGATATTGAATAGACAATACTGGACAAAAAATATAAAACATAATACTCATTGTAAAATATATCTAAATTACTTAGATGTTTAATGAGTTTCTACTTCTTGCTTGCACTACTTACAAGTTATTCCTTATTCTTTTGTAACTTATATTACAGATCAGTTTTACATAGGAAAAAATGCAAGATTTTATTTCTATTTCTGAAAACATATTTTTCATCACCCAATATTTCAATTTTAAAAGATTAATCGCTGTATCAATACTATGTAATGTAATAAGTCTAAATTTTATTTGTACTGTCATATTATTATATATTATATATTATTATATTTCTTCAAGTAAAAATCTAAATTTCATAGGCCTAATTATATTCATATGTCATTCATATAAGTACAGCTAAAGTATCGAATAGGATTTCGACAAATCATAGAAAAGTAATAATAATGAGTATAATAATGAGACTAAGAATAAATTTGCATTTATCTCACATAAACAAAATTATATATGCGAGTTCTGTAATAATCGATAAGTTTGTTTTGTGTTATTTTGTGGACAGACACATATATAATATGATACTGTATATATTAGAGAGAGAAAGACAGACAAGTTCTCTAAAAGTGCTTTGCATCAAATAAATTAATGATTATAATTATTAAATGAAAAAAAATTTGTGTTTTGCAATCTTGTATTTTATATGTAACACTTACATTGTGTATATAAAGAGAAAAAAAATTTATAGCCCAATCTCGATTAATTTTTCAAAAATTTCTAAACTTTGACAGCTTTAATGATACTTAATTTTTTGATTTGTATCTCAATCTCCATCTTTTTATAAAAGTGTCAATGGGCAAAAATTTATTCTCTCAAAAAGAGATAACATGAAAAAAGGGGGAGAAGGAAATGACGAGAAGCTATACTTCAAATTAATTAATAATTGTAAAAGGAAATCACTTTTAATCAGTGAAATTGTATTTATATACATATTAGTATATAATATTATATATTTATTAAGTACTATTCACATTGCGGAAAAACATTATAATAATGCTAATAAAGTTTTTTATCAAATTAATGTTAAGCTTGATGTATATAATAGCTTTGCCGTAATTTCAAAGATGCCCACGTAATAGAAAGGAATCAATATTTATGTATATGATAATTGAGTGCAGTAATTATTTTTTCTCTCATCAAGTATTTCATGTGCATATTACATAAACACAGTGTAACAGCTCAAAGGATATTAATTAAGATCTTTACATTAAATAAATAAACACACACACACACACATATGTGTGTGTGTGTGAGTGTGTGTGTATGTATGTATGTATGTATATATGCATGTAAATTACATATGTAAATTATATCTAACAATAATTAGCTTAAATTTGCTCATTTTATAATATTTATATTTTTGTTTATACATTTAAATATCTAAAATATGCCTAATATACTATATATAATAAATACTCAGTTTAATATATTATAAGTAAACTGCAATTGTCTCTAAAATAGGAAGAAAATAATTTTTGTATAAATAAAAAATTACAATAATGAAATGTAAATTTAACTGCCTGATAAAAATGGTACTTAATATTAATAATATTGTATTGGACCAAAGCATTCTAAAATTAACAAATAATTGGCAATAATAGAATAAGTGCCCTATGTAAAAATTATGTCTTTTACATGTGAAAAGCAGTTGATAAAGTTAATAAATTATGTATCTAATAATAGATAGAAGGGAGAATTGAATTTACAATTTACATATATTTCAAAATAATTGATTAAACAATATTATAAAGTACTTGTTTTTACTCTGGAACAATACTAAAAATATAGATTTTACTTTACACGTTGGTAACTTTTAGATTGAGTGTATGTATGTATATGTATGTATGTGTGTGTATATAGTTTCTTTTAAACATTAAACTATAATATTTTATATAAAAAATTATATAAAATATTTCATGTTATGCATGTATCTGACAATGTACATGTTTAGGAAAAAAGGTTGTGTATATGATAAAATTAATTATTAAATTATTATAAGATATTCTATTGTGAAATAAAACGTGAAAATATTAATTACAAGTTCTACATTCTAATTACTTGGAATATAATTATATAAAAACGAATAAAAAACAGCATATTTTCTATAGGTTTTTTATAGGTGGAAATTTTCTGGAAAAATACTCCAACATATAAGTATACAATTAGAGTTTTACTCTATATATATATATATATATATATATATATATATATATATATATATATATATATATTTCTTTTAAATGAGATTTATTCATTAAATTTTCTTCAAGTATTTCAATTCATGACAAAGCCATATTATGGTACTTAAAAGTATAAGACTACCAGACTGATGAGAAGCAGCTAATATTAAAGGAACATGAGTTAATAAAGTTGAAATGCCTAAAAGTACTTGAAGATAACCAGCACAAAGTACAGCAGCCACTGCCTTTCTTCCTCGACTAGAAAGTTTATGTTTGCGGGACATAATACCCAAACAAGTTATTAATGCTATAGTAGCAATACCCTGCATAAGAAATATGTATTGTATTGTAAAATATAATGTAATGACGAATAAATGATTGTATATAGTTGCAACTTACCAAAATTCTGTGATCAAATTGAATCGTAGCTGGATTTTCCGTAAAATTTTTTAATATAGGAGACATGGCAAATATATCATCAGGAATCCATTTATCTGCCATTTTTGGAAAAGTATTATATATAAGACCAGCATCCATTCCAGCTACAAGTGCTCCCGACAGAGCGGTGAAAAATATCAATCCCTTTGTTGAGTAAATTAATCTTTTAAACCGTTTTATCGTCATTAATGCATTATTTGTAATTTTGGAGAAATTACTAGTTTGCTTTTCAGCAGGAATCAAATGATCCAAAGCATTATACAGAAATCCAGTATATATAAGCAGCGCTAATCCAAGATGCGCAGCTAAACGATACTGCGATACCCGCGGCACATCGGAAGGTTCTATAAAACGATCTTCTAATCCAGATTTAACCATATACCATCCCATAAGTCCTTGTAAGCCAATTAATGAACCTAAAGCAGCAATACGTGTTTTCATACCATGTTTTAGCATACCCTTAAACCAAAAATATGTCGCTGGTACTATAAATATAACGCCAATTAAACGTCCCCACATTCTATGCAAATATTCCATCCACCAAATACGCTTGAATTCTTCCAATGTCATATTCAAATTGGTTCTATAGAAAGAAGTGTATACATATATATATTAATGTATATTAATTTTTTTACATCCTTGATGTAAGAGACACATGTGTACTTCTTACATTTTATATTCAGGAAATTGTTTGTAGCGTTCAAATTCTGAAAGCCATTGAGTTTCATTAAGAGGCATTTTTTCTCCTAATAATCTCCAGGTAACCATAGATAAACCTGATTCCGTCAGTCGTGTTATGCCACCTAGATATATGTAAGGAGAGAAATAATTTACTACAATTTCATAAATAAATTTTATTTACATTTAATATTGGTCAATCATATGTACTGTTTATTCACATAAAAGTGTTATATAAATTTTAATTAGATACCGATATTTTAAATCTCATGAAACACATGTATGTATTTGTATGTGTAAAAAAAAATTCTATTTCCCATATGTTTTTTCTATAATAATCTTTACTATCTTGCAAATATAATAATAATATACAAAATAAATAATAGTACCTAGCGCAACTGCTACAAAAACCATACCGCCACAGGTGAGCAACCAAGATCCCACAAGTTTATCATATTTATCGTTCCTTTTCGAAACATAACTGCGAATTGCGATATCCATTTGTTTAAGCGGTCTCTATCAATCGTTAAAAAAAATTTTAGATCGTATATTATTAAGAGTGTATATATATATATATATATATATATATATATATATATATATATATATATACAAAACGTAATTAAAATATATATGCCATGCATATACATATGTGCGAGAAGAGAAAGAATTTATTACCTTTTGTAACAAAGATGAATAATATTTCTTCAAAGAAATATCGTTACATCGAGATTTGTCGATTTTAACATTCGTAAAAAGATATCGTTGACTAAGAGCATATTTTGTAACATTATACGGCCTGAATATCCTCGTATGATATCTCACGATATTCAACATGTTGTAATTATCAAATATATATATTATTTGTTATGATAGACGTAAACAACAAAATATATGTATGTACATACAAAATGTATGTACATACACTATATACCATTTTCCACACAGGCTGGAGCCTGTAGGTTGGATTCCATAATAAAGGCTTTCGCACATGAATTGCTATAACCATAAACGTAAAACGTAAACGTAAGCTGAAGAACCAATGAGAATATTGCTTTAGTTTTATGTATCCTAGAAGACGATAGAAATGATGATAAAGTTGGCCGTAAGCAGAAGTAACTAGGATTTCAATCAGTTAAGGGCTATCGCACACGAAATTGCATAGCTGCATGTGCATAGCATAAGACCATATGGACCAATGAGCATCGAGTTTTAAGTCGCCATATTGACTTACATAACATAATACTCGATGCTCATTGGTCCATATCGTCTTATGCTATGCACATGCAAGCTATGCAATTTTGTGTGCGATAGGCTTAAGGCCGCAGCACACACTTTTGCATAAGCGCATAACCATAAGCATAAGGAAATTGATTGGTCCCCAAGTATATGCATAAGAAAATGAACCAATCAATTTTCTTATGTTTATGGTTATGCGTTTATGCAAAAGTGTGTGCTGCGGCCTTAAGCCTATCGCACACAAAATTGCCTTTAAAATCCTAGTTACTTCTGCTTACAGTCAACTTTATCATCGTTTCTATCGTCTTCTAGGATACATAAAGCTAAAGCAATATTCTGATTGGTTCTTCAGCTTACGTTTATGTTTATGGTTATGGCAATTCATGTGCGAAAGCCTTTACGGCCTCTATAAACCAGCCTTAAGATGTCTTGACAGAAGAACAGACTATAAATATCGGCCATAATACCCGGCTGATAGTTTCAATCCAATATCATCGTGTGTCACTTTATCAATTGCGCTACTGATGCTGATACTCTTTCTGAAATGGCAAACTTAACCAAGAAACGCCATGCTGATAATAATCACATGGAGGTATGATATTATAAGTTTGATTTTCTAGATTATAATCTTGTTGCTTTTTCAAGTGCGCGAACGTACTCTTGCGTCAGCGTACACTATAAATGAAATAGATTTTAAAGATGGAGAAAAAAGGAAAACAAAAAATGCAAAAAGTTTAGTTCTAAATAAAAAATAAATTTTATATTATCTTGCGAAAGCTTTGCATGAGAAAGAATAATTGTATGTTTCTCGTAAATGATAGAATTGATTAATGAAAACATAATACACATTTATGTTATTTATTATTACATAATAATTACTGTTTATATTATTTTATCATATGTTATCACATCATGATTCATTCTACTTAATCTATTTTTTAGGTAGAAACAATTAATGGTATACAGGGAAAAGTAAAGCAGCATACAGCTAAAAAAAGAGTAAAGATTATACAAGATGGAGAACAAAGAAAAGTAAGATAACAAATCTTGTATATATATTTAATAATTGTCTATATAAGCTTTTATTTTGCTTAATATTTTGTTTGTTGTAGATATCAGTACCAGCACATAGATATTCACCTCTAAAAGAAAATTGGTTGAAAATATCTGCGCCTATTGTTGAACATTTAAAATTACAAGTTCGCTTTAATTTGAAAACTAGAAATGTTGAAATTAGAACAGCACCAGAAACTCCAGATATTGCTTACCTCCAAAAAGCAGCAGATTTTGTGAAAGCATTTATTTATGGATTTGAGGTGGACGATGCTTTAGCTTTACTACGTTTGGATGACTTATTTGTGGAATCGTTTGAAATACAAGATGTTAGGCAACAAATAAAGGGTGATCATCAGTCTAGAGCAATCGGCAGATTAGCAGGCAAGGGTGGAAGAACAAAATTTACTATTGAAAATGTAACAAAAACGAGAATTGTGCTAGCAGATACGAAGATACATATACTTGGTTCTTTTCAAAACATACAATTAGCCCGTAGAGCAATATGCAATTTGATTTTAGGTAGTCCACCTTCTAAGGTATATGGACAACTTAGAAACATAGCTAGTAAGATTTCAAAACAATATTAACGATTATCTATGTTTGTATCATACATGTACATATATAATCTTTTTTTTTTATCAAGAATGTGTTGACAATAAATGTGTTCTTTTTAACAACAGTTCCCTATTGCACATTGTCTGCATTTACAAGCCATATTATATGAACGATTCGGTATAATTGTAACTATAAGAAGAAGAAGAAAGTAATTTACAATGAAAGGCTGAATTGAATATGGAGAGGAGAAAAAGTTACAAAATATTTTACATGTATATGTATATATATCGTCTTTTTCATCTTGGCAAATAATTTAATCTTAATAATTTATAATAGATTTATAAAAGTATTTGATATTTATATTTACGTGGTACTTTGTTAAGAACTAATCTACCATCATAACTAAGAGATGCAAATGTCCAGGGATCGGCAGATGACCATTCCACTGCATACACGCTATCTTCATGTTCTTCGTATCTTCCTACAAGACCATCTTCTAATCTGGAATGTCATAAATGTACGATTTAATCCGTTTGAATAGATTGATTACTACTGTATTACACAATATTCATTTACTTTTTCTTCCCACAAGATTCGTCATTTTGAAAAGCAAATTCATCTTCAGTCGACACCATGTGTCCAAATGGTTCAGACGAGATAGACGCAATACTATATAATATCACTCTAGAGTCACTGCTGGATGTTAAAACGAGCTGATCGTGGAAACGATTAATTCTTATGTTCCACACCCAATGCGAGTGTTCCATACGAGATAATATCGGTTCTGTCGGTAATCGAATATCCCAAAATTTCATATATCCATCATCGCCACAGGTGGATAAGAAATACTGACGATTTGCATTAAAATCCAAATCTCTGTAAGACAAGTTGTATGTTAAAGTAAAAACAATATATTTTAATGCCTTCCATCAAAGATTAATTTTTACATTACCTAATGATCTGTGAATGTGCAGATAAAATAGACCAAGCAGCATCGGTAGGGCTTCTAAAATCCCATCCACGAACGTTATTTTCATTCAAAGTTACAAACTGATTCGCACCATTATGAGGATTCCATTTACCATTCGTAAATCGTGGTTGACCTTTGCTTGCCAAAGTACCAGATACTACTACCTAAGTGGAACATAGGAAAATTATTAAACGCTTCAAATGTTTTAACAATAGGATTATATTATAGAAGAGTATACATTTTATGCAAATGAAAAAAAGTAATTAACCTGTGGCTCCTTATTTGCTAAATCCCATAAAACAAAATTATTATCTACTACAGAAACAATCTTTTTACAGTCTGTAGGATGATAGGCGATAGTTTTAAGATCGGTACCATATGGTGCAGTATCAATATCTGCCAATTTATCAAGTTGTAAAATGTCATTCGTATATTCTTTTATCTCAGGAAATTTCCATATAGCTCCTTTCATTTGGCATATGCCTTCCTCTGAAAAAGTAATGCAAAGATGAAAATTACCTAGAAGCATTTGTAAAAAATCTATTACTAAATTCAATACCAATCTTTTCATATTTTTTATATTTAACAATATAAAAAAAATTATTTTAAAAAAGATAATGAGACTTCTTTACCACTCAAATGATTATAACATGTAATAAATATATCAGGTTCAGTTGGAGAGGCTTGTAAGGACCAAATTTCTCCCAACGAATGCTGAAATACTTGAGTTTTTAAATTTCCTGTTTCTTCGTTAAGTTCTACCAAGTGAATCTGATTATTATTAAAATTTAAAGATTGTGTTCCAATCAGAAATCTTACAACATCGGTCTCAGCCGTTTGAGCAGACAATGCTCTAGTCTAAAACGAAAAGAATAGAGCATTATTTTAATATTTTTATTTATTTGCATCATAGTTGTAAAATAGTTGTGAAATAATCATATTATACTTTATTATTTAGCAACAATATGGAACAAGGTAAAATAAAAGAGGAAATATAGATTTTTATATTCGCATAATTAATTAATTTATACTTGGAATTCGAGTCCATATATGACAGGATTGTCATTTTCCATTTTTAACTATTGCGTTTCGTACGTTTTATACGTTTTATATAGCAAATATGTTTACATTAAAGAAATCGTATTTGCATTAGGGCTGTATCATGGACTTGTAGAATACTGTAGGGATGGGAGATCTTGAATCGATCTTTTGAAGAATCGATTCTTTTATATCTGATTCTCGATTTTTTAGATCGATCTTCGATTAATCCAGTGAATCGATTCTTAAGATTAGAGATCGGACGTAAAAAATAAAAGTATAAAATTCATATTACGCTTTGATTTTTCGTATATGTGTGCATAGCATTTATACAAATTTAAAGCGTCGTCTACAATGGCAGTAGGGTTAATGAATTAAAGCTGTAATTCAAGAAATTGACCAATCACAGTCGAGTATTCTCTTAATGCTTAACTGTGATTGATCAATTCCTTAAGTTACAGCTTTAATCCATTAATCCTACTGCCATTGTAGACAACGCTTAAGGTTTTAACGTAAGATGGCGTAAGGTGCTACGGCAATGTTTGTGCCCTGACCCTAAGCTAAAGACCTTTGGGCCGGATCTACAATAGGTAATTTAAGCCCTAAGCTTTAAGAAATTGACCAATCACAGTATCGAGTATTCTCTTTATACTTGACTGTAATTGGTCAATCTCTTAGGCCCGGTTCTACAACTCGAGTTAATCCGAGTTTAATACGTTAAACTGGGTCCTGATTGGTCCATCCACTACTTAAACTCGGATTAACTGGATTGTGGAACTGGGCCTTAGCGCTGAAAGCATCGCTCTATCTTCGTTTGATATTCGATGTGCAATAAAGACAGAATGATGCTCACAGCGCGTAAGCATACATACATACAAAGCAAACGCAGCCTAGATGTTTTGAAGCATTTGTTCGACCAATCAGGACAAAAGGAGTAAAGATTTCTTTAACCTGATTGGTCAATCAAATGCTTCAAAGCATCCATAGCGTCTTCCCGACCGTAACCATAGTACTCACATAGGTGCATATGTAGATTCATATGTGTGTACAATGTACATAGTGTACATAGTATATACACGTGTGGTTTAACATCTTACGATATATCGTCGATACATATTAGTTGATTGTTAAATAATATATATTTTCGGTTATGGCATCTTTAAATTTTGATTTAAAAGAGAGACTAGATATCTGTTTCAACGATACGACGACTTTGGATCCACTATGCAAAAGTATATCCTCGGGTACGTTACATTTTGTACATACATACATACGTACACATTGTCATATATGCACACAATTCTACACACATTTTCCTTTTTTTAAAATACTTTATATTTTATTTTATCACAAAAATAATAATAGCGGCACAGTAAGAAGAGACTAAGAAAGTTAAGTTTTAAAATAAATCTTGCTTTAAAATATAATTTGTGCAATAAATGATGTGTATACACACACACACACACACACACACACACAAATATATATATGTAGTATTGGTATTTGGAAAAATTTATTATTATGCATATATACATATATACATACACATCTCCATCAAGAAATCATCAATTTAATTAGGTTAATATTACATGCATCTTGACATTATTAGTTTCGAAGGATGTTAAATTTCTTTTTCCAGAAATTGAATCAGGTTCTATGAAACTTGGCACGTTTGTAGAAACATTAGGCTCCTACATGACAGACCAAAATGTTCTTACAAGAGAAAAAGGGGTTACAATTCTTTCTTCTGTCTTGTCACAGATATCCCAAGATTATCTTACTGAATCTGAATTGTATTTTATTACAATATTTTATTGCGATAGGATAAAGGATCATTATAATATCATACCATCTGTATTAAATGGCATTCTAGCACTTGTGAGCATTTATTTAAAGGCCATCCCTCTTTGTATCTCGTAAAAATTTTTTTCGATTATATATATTATTCATAAATCTTGTTTTAGGTAAACATGAATCGGTTGCCTCAAGGTGCACCATTGTCGCTATTAAGAGTTATGTTTGAGCATGTTCAGTGTCAATCTCTGCCATTATCGGAACGTCGCAAAATATATATAATATTCAAAATTTTGATAGAAAACAAAATAGATGATTTGATATCCATGGGATCCGATTTAGTTTATGGCATTATTAATTCTATCGATGGTGAAAGAGATCCAAACAATCTCGTGTTATTATTTAATGTACTACCACATTTTATAAAAAAATTCCCACTGGAACATTTAACTGAAGAAATGTTTGAGGTTATGGCATGTTACTTCCCAGTTGATTTCAATCCTGTAATTATATTTATTTTTCTTTATGTGATATTTAAAAAGATGTAAACATGTGATTTACAAATGTTGTTTGCAGTCTGGCAGCGAAGATTTAAATGTGACACGGGAAGATTTGGCAAAAAGATTGGCTCCTTGCTTATGCGTTATTCCAGAGTTTGCAGATTATTGTATTCCTCTTATAATTGACAAATTATATTCCACCCATAGAATTGCTAAACTTGACTCCTTAAATCTATTGCGCGAAGGTGTTCAAACATTTGAGCTGTTAAAAGTGAAATCTCATCTATCGGAACTATGGACAATTTTAAAAAAAGAAATTATGTCAGAAAAGGACGTCGAAATAAAAGATGCTGCTTTAGAAGCAATAACATCATTAATTAAAATTATATCAGTCGACGAAGCTGTTTGCAAAAATTTCATCAATCAAGTAATCACCGATATAAAATTTTCCCTATCCGATGTACAGCTTAGTTTATATAGATCTGCTCAGAGATTATTGGAGACAATAGCAGTAATTAGTAAAACAGTATGCGTACAAATCTTGCAAATTGTAATACCCTTATGTATCGGTCAATATTCTACAAAAAATTCATCAAATGATAAAATTGCATTGATAGAAACTTTAAATAATTTTGTGAAAATTTGTTCCCATCATGGCTTTTGCATTCAAGGTAAGTTGCATTAAAACAAAATTAATATAGCATAAAGCGATAAGAACTTTTAACTTACAACATCATATTATTATTATGTCATTATTGTTCATATAACTATTAATATATTTTGTGCATATGTATGTGTAAATACATGTATAAAATATGCTAGAAATTGAAGAAAATTTCATGTAGATGTTTCAGAATTAGCATGGACAAATATACTTCAAATATATTTAGATGGCTCGGTGGTAGAAAATACAGAGTTGAAAAGCAGAATATTTGTTGGCTTAATGATTCAAAAGGCTTATCTAAACGATGTACAACGCACTGTTTTCTATAATGTGATATGCAATGAAATTGAAGCAGGCTGCGATGAAATACAGATTATATGTCATACAGCTATTATAGATTTTGCTACAATGTATCTTCAAGAAATATTGTTGCTAATTAAAGACAGATTATTATCAAAAACAGGTGAGTTATATACCAATGTACATATAGTTAATTAATTTGTGTATAATTGCCAATAGGAGTGTGAGTAATATTATTGGAATATTCCAGATGAAACGAGAGTAGAAATACTGAAACGTAGGATAAAAGCTTTGACAGCGGTAGCAAAAATATATGAATTAGGTTGTGCGATTCTCCCGCAAATTGTTACAATGTCAACAAGTAATATTGATAATGACATATGCATTACAGCTTTACTGAATATCCAGAAACTAATCGCTTCTAAGAAATCCGATTTCAATATACACCGATTTCTATATAACGAATGCCATATTATTGATAAATTAATTTTGTACAAGACAAATGTGATTGATCATAAAATGTTGATTTCTAATATTTGTCAATTAATTATGCGAAATCTTACAATCGAAGAACAATGCGCAATTCTAGCAAAGTACGCTGTAGCTTTAAATACAAAAATTTTGGAAACTGACGTGACCATCATAATAATGAATCTTTTCATTCCTTTGCGGAAAGATATCAATTTGAATATAAGTAATGATATGGTGGAAAATTTATATAATCTAGCAATCGGTAATCGCAATCTGGATATAAAACAAACAAGCTGTAAATTTTTATCTGTTTTATTAAACAAAATGGAGATGGCAGATCTTAATCGAATTGTACCTTATCTCGAAGACAAGATAGATAATAATTTAAAAACGGATAATGATATCGAACTAAGGCAGGATACAATTAACATTCAAATTTGGATAACTAAAGCATTTGTTATGAGAGGATACAGCAAGTCTCAATATTTCTTGAAGAATGTACGTGCAATTGAATATGTAATTGTATTACATATAATGCTTTAAAATGCGAAAGAATTACCAAATTAATATATTACTTTGTTTTCACAGCTTACGCATCTACTAACTCACGACGAAATGGGTCAATTTGTAAGCGAACAATATCAAATATTAGTAAGTAAATACGAAGATGCCTTAATAGAGGAAAATTTTTGCGATATAAAAATTTTTTATAAACAAAGAGTATTTGAATATTTGTTGCAACAAGCTATTAATTTTACGAGATCAAGTAGGCAGAATTATTTTGTCGCTTTGGTACATTTATTGGAACAAATGCCTGAAGAATTATTACTTTTGCATTTGACCGAGGTAAGTTTCTCGCTAATCCTTTCATGATAAAAATAGTTAATCCTTATGAAATTTGATTAATCATTTACATCGCGTTGTTAGTTGGTGCCATTGTTGATTGAATCTCTAACTTTAAGCAATGAGCATTTAATTTTCCGGACTTTAATATCGCTTAAACTTTTACTCGACACAAAACACGACATATTTTTGGACAATGTACAATGTGTCATACCAAAACTTGTGCAATTGTCAATACATCGAATCATGGTAATTACATCAACTTTAATTTTTTTCGAACCGTTTCATTTTGTTATCTTATAATCTTATATTGTATATTTTAATCAATATCAATAGGATGTTAGAATCGCGGCTCTGGAATGTTTGGCGCATTATGCCTGTTATCCCTCAGTTTTGATCAATCCATACAAGCAAGTTGTATTAGACAAATTGGGGATAGTAGTCGATGATCGCAAACGTTTAGTCAGGAGAGCTGCTGTGGAAGCGAGAATACGATGGTTTATAGCAGATGCATCTGAATCCAAAGAATGAATATTGCAGAATTTTACATATAAATTCTAATCATCTAATATGACAATATATAATCTATATTACATATAGATTTCATATTTTTCGCCTTATTTTATATATTTTGAAAAATGTAAATTTCTTACTGTTAAATTGTCAATATACAGGCGAGTGATGTTTATAGATTGGTATACACAGTTGCATTTATTTATAAATATTCACAATATATTTTCCTAAGCGTCTTTTCTATAAAAAGGTTTCCTTATCTATCCATCTTCCGGATATCTTTCTTAATCAAATAAAGAATTGATTTTTCGTGTAAGTGGATTAAAATCACAACCGAACCAGCTTAAATACGCTCAGTGTAACGCAAGCATGGGGGATGGTGAGAATATATACATTCATTTTACTTTATTTTAGAGTCATTTTAATTATTAATATTGTTCTTTTATCAAAGTGATGATTAAATATCGGAAAATTTTTTTCTCGCATTTTTAACTCTATTAAAACTTTTCTCGAATGAAATTCTCTCAAATTCGATTTGTGCGTGACTCACCCGCGTATGCGCATTTATAGGTGTGGTAAAGAATGGTGCGTATAAATATGACGATAGTACGAAATATATCGGAGATTGGAATCGTAAGGGATTGAAACACGGCGCCGGTTTGTTAATTCTTCCGGACGGAACACGATACGAAGGAGCATTCCAGAATGGATTATGTTCTGGTTTGGGAGTTATTGTATTTCCCGATGGGGCAAAGTAAGTAATAAGTTACATCGTACAAATTTTCGATAATGGCATCGCGTACACTTGTAAAGGGAAAATTCATTTTTTCTTTTTTAGATACGAGGGCGAGTTTATGCAAGGATGGTTCCATGGTCATGGTGTATTTTGGAGAGCCGACGGAATGAAATTCGAAGGGGAATTTCGCGGGGGTCGTGTCTGGGGCTTAGGTAAGTGTGATCATAATAAACAATTATGGAACTTTATAATTTCTTATAATATGGAAAGTAGCAACTATTTTTAGCGAAGCCGACGATAAAAGTTTTTTTTTATATAATAGATAATTTGCATGTGTGCGAAGCAATTTATAATTATATATTATTTATATGGATTTATATGGATAGGTTTAGTGACTTATGCCGATGGATCGCATGGGTTTCCGAGGAATGAAGGTTTTTTTCAAGATTGTAGACTAGTAAGACGACGACGTTGTCCGGATATAATACAAAAGGCGCAAAAAATTTCTATGATGGCGCGTGCGCAAGGCAGTTGAATGGAAATAGATATTTAGTTATTACATGATTAGAAGGAAGACTAGTATATAAAGCCAGCGGCACGATGCTTGTTTTTGTGCTGGATTGCATGCGAGCAATTCTTTACTTGACAATTCTTTAATATCGAAATTACGATTGGTCAATTAAGACGCTCACATCAAGACGCGATCTAGTACGAAAAATCGTACGGTGTGCCGCAGGCTTAAGTAGTTTTGTTTGCTAGTTTATATTGCAAATATTGATAAAATTGTAACAAAAATGAAAATACATCTATATGTGCTTTATACATTGATATTTGCATTTAAAAGAGGATGGGGACAAAGATGGGAGGGAGGGAGGGGGAGAGAGAGAGAGAGAGAGAGAGAGAGAGAGAGAGAGAGAGAGAGAGCGCCTTATAATTTCTTCCTTATACTGCACGGAATATTTTTTTGCTTAGACCGCGACATTACATTTGTCGTACGACAAATTTTTTTTTACAAAGCGTATTGATTAGCTACAAAATAGAAAATATCTAAAAATTCAAGAAATTTTTATCCTGCAGCCAATTAATATTATGTTTAAAAAATTTGTGACAAGTGCATGTAGTATCGGTCTTGCACATGCGAATAAATGTTTAATTTTTAAAACATTTTTCTAGTAATACATGATTGCAAAATGAATATACATGTTGGCCATAATAATATAAAATTTAAATTTAAATGCAATATTTGTGATGCAATATTAAATGCAATTTTTTGAATTCAAAATGAAATGTTATAATGGGCCCAAGGGAAAAAGTTGGAGAAAGGGAACAAGGCTAGACTACTTTTCGCTCAGAGAGGCGTGGTCCCCAAAGCCGGATGTTCCAGTTTTGAAACATAAAGATACCACCTCCAATCTTAATGTATAAAAATGCATCTTTATTGTTTCAGTACAATATACATTATTACTATCGATTTTATATTTTATTATGTATTCTATATTGAATATCTATTAACAACATGAAGAAAGATCAAAATTTTAAACTTGGAAACTTTATTAAAGTACATATATGTATATATACATGTGTATATACACACAAAATATATATACAATATATATATATATATATATATATATATATATATATATATATATATATGAATTTAGGAACTTTATTGAAGTTTATATATAAATACATGTGTACAACACACAAAATATATATACAATACACACACACACACACACACACACACACACAAAGTACATTCTAATATATAAAAAGTTATTTTCCTACACTTTGCACCTTATTTTTTTTCTTATTCCACTTAAAAGATCGTTTTTAAAAATTTTTTTAATCCGCAAGAAAAATTAGCTTTAATTTTATAGAATATAAACAAGATCAAATTCATAATCGATATCATGTATAAGTATAATTTTTAAAATTCAATGTAAAAATTCTTGAAAATATTATTATAAATAATAAATTACAAATAAAAACACAACATATAAAAGCAAAATATAAAAACAAAAGTTATTAAAATAATATTCAAGGAGAGAATAAATATTCGATTTTCCAAAAGAGCATTATCTCTTTTTGAGTAGTTTAAAAAAACAAACTTTATGAAAAATACATATCAAATACAATATCTATAATTTATTCTTATTGCAATGATATATGAAATTTAACGAAAAATAAGACATTCGCACGAACAATGGCGCAATATTAAATTTATCCTTGACACTACCTCCCACCGTAGTGAATTGTGTACGTCGAAAGATTTCGTGGCTCTCGTTCGCCAAGTATAAAAGTACCGATTGTCATCGAGAGTAACATTCGTATTTCGGCACAGACGCAGAGTACTTGTCGCAAGATTTTCCAAAATAAACATAATGGCAATTAAGGTACGTTATATATCTCTTAGTATAATCATATCCACAACCATATATATATATATATATATATATATATATATATATATATATATATATATATATATGTAACTAATTTTTATTATTAGACTCGTAAGATAAAAAAGTAATATATGTATATGAATATAAGCTGATAACACGTTGAAAAATTTATAATCAATATTGAAACAAGTCTTGTATTTTAGCTGTTTATAATAGTTTGCGTTTTGGCTGCGGCCAATGCCGGTTATATTGGAGTATCTCCCGCCTTGCAGTATCAGATTGCGCCAATAGCGCATGTCCAACCCCATGCTATCACGTCGACGTCCGATAATATATTACGCAGCCACGGTAATTTGGCTCAAGTAGCTACGCAAACGAAAACCATCGACACGCCTTTCTCTAGCTCAAGCAAGACAGATATTCGCGTGAGCAATCCGGCTGTCACGTACGCGCATCTCGCCCATCCAGCTACCCCACTGACGTATACTGCAGCTGCCATACCGGCGCCGGCGGCTATACGTACTCCGGCCGCTCTTGGAATCGCTTACTCGCCGGCGGTCGAAGTATCTCACATGAGCTACAGCAGTCCAATTGGAGTTGCTTATGCCTATTAAATCAAATCGGTTACATATTTGTCGGCGCCTTTTTCATATATAATATAATGGATAAATAAATATGTATTTATACAAGCATTTTCTTTTATAATTGTAACTTGTGTACGTAATAAACATGTTTTTTAATGATACTACATTACCAGTTGTATAATAAGAGAAGCGTGCGCGCATATAAATATACATATACGTGCGAAATGTCATAAATTGTAAATTATTTTTAAAAATTTCACGCGAATTAAAATTATTAATTGAAGGTATTTAATTTTGCGAATGAATTTGCATTTGTGTGAATTTTAATGAGAGACAAGATTTCTCTCTCATCTGAGAAATTATATTAAATTAATTATATATTATATTAAAAATATAATCTTTATATAATACGTTGAAAAAATTGTTTTATACATATAATAAAATATATCACAATATTAAAGGTATGAAATTTTTGTTCCAAACGGCGGAATATATATTGTATTCTGTAAAATTAAATAATTATTTCAGGATAGAAATTGCAGTATAATGTATTTCTATAAAAATATTTGTTTTTATTAAACTTCCATAACCGTTAACTATTTTTTATATGTTTTTGTAAAATATTTGCAACATAAAAAATGTCGATTGATTAACAATAGTAAACAATACGTATAAAAATAAACTAGAATTTTTTGTGAGAAGAAAGTAAAAATAATTTTCTTAACTTTTGAGAGCAATAACTTACACAATTCTTGACCTTGCACAAGATAGAGCATAAGTGTGTGTGTGTGTGTGTGTGTAAACCATATTCTCTTGTAAAAGAAAAAAGAAAAACGGTGAAGGTGACCTACATATGTACATGCATACATACAGTTAAAGATTGAAATTGAACCCTGAACCACGCCTTGTTATCTTATTAATTTTTTTATTTGTATATATCATTCGAATATCTATATCTACTAAGTAGTGAGATTTATTAGATATTTCTTAGATAATTTTTCCTGTATGGAATTACACATATATATTTTTAATATTAAAAATATACATTATTTATATAATATTTAAGTATCATAATAGATAAAAATTTAACGTTAAAATATAATTTTAACTATACTTTTATTAATGTTTCATACATGTTTTTCTTCTATGTACATACACATTCACGCACACATACACACACACATACATATTATATATAAGAATGTATAGTTTCATGACTGCATCAAACACATCATATAATATATAGTTCAGTTTATCATTTATCTTATATACTGTTTTGATTTTACCTTAATGTAAACAAAAAAAGGAAAATTGTAATTTTTCCACATTTTCTTCAGGTATTCTTTTGTGGTCTATTGCCAAAAATAGCTGTTCCTACTCTTACATTTGTACTGCCAAGTTCAATCTATGATAGAAAATAATAATTGCATTTAATGCTTATGTATAAAGATGTATAAAATCTATCAATAGCACGATTCACGAATAGATTGTATTTAAATATCTCACCGCATGTTCGTAGTCATTGGACATTCCCATTGATAATTCGATATTCTTTATATCGATCGCTAATTCATTACTTATCTTTTCTCTGCATTTTATCAAACAGGTAAAATATGGATTTGGACCATTCGTAATATCATATCCAAACATCCCTATTGTCATAAGACCCATAAATTTCAAATTGTGGCAGTTATTTATAATGTGCTTTACAAGAGTCGATACTTCTACAATATCACAGCCATTTTTCTCTGTAATTTTTTGTTAGAAAGTAATACGCTATATTAAGTAAATAAGCTACAAACCTTACATAATTTTCTCAGGATAAAATGCAGAATGTAATATAAATATTTAATTACCTTCTTCTTGGCTTGTGTTAACTTGTACCATAACATTCAATTTGCAATTATCACTCTTTCGAAATTTTGGCCATGAATTATTAAGCAAATCTGCAAGTTTCTCATTACCAACACTTTCTATGATATATAAATTTGGTACACTTAGAATCTTGTTGACCTTATTTCTTTGTAAATTGCCTATGAAATGCCATTGAATTTCTTTGCATTTTTCAAGAATCTGTGGATTTAAAGCCTTTTCCACTAATTCATTTACATAATTTTCACCAAAATGTCTTTGGCCTGCTTTATAAGCGGATAATATAGATTCCGTGGATTGCAACTTGCTAACGGCTACTAGTCGCGGTTCATAATACTGATGTTCCTGGAAAACGTGATATATATTTCTTTTTTAGAATTCGTATAAATGTTTATCTTTGGCATCAATTTTCTTCGTAATACGATTATATATAATAATATTTCACATATTTCATAATGTAAATTTGTACATATTTTAAAAAATGCTGAACAGATATATTTAGTAGTATATAAATACAAAAAAAAAGAAAAATACCGATGTTCTTTTTGTAGCAGCATATAATATTTTATCGCAAACCGATTTTAGATTTGCTGCTATATCCGCCATATTGTACTTAAATAATACTGTTTGTTTACTGGGTGCGGTCAAAGAGATAAAGCCCTTTGCACAATGCTAGGCAACAGACAATAGAAATAAAGAATAGAAACTATTCATCAATAAATACGCGGAACAGAAAATATTCGCCAATAAGAGCAGATAATAGATATTATTTTTGTTCTTATTGCCTGTTGCCTAGCATTGTGCAAGGGGCTATACATGGGCTATACATCTGTTCGTTTTAGCTGCACTGCTGCACTAGTGCAATTAGTTAGAGTGAAAGAAAGTATGTTTGTCTTTATCTAACTTATTGCACTAGTGCAGCAGTGCAGCTAAAACGAACAGACCCATGAATCGCGTATATAAAGGCCTTTGCACAATGCTGGGCAACAGACAATAGGGAATAGAAACTATTCACCAATAAATACGCGGAATAGAAAATATTCGCCAATCTCAATCGCTAAGTAGCAAGCGAACGTGATTGGTTTCTACTTTCAGTTCCAACCAATCAGCGTCGAATTGCATCGGGAAATCTAGTAATGTTGCTCTCGAGACCATTGAATGCGGTCATTACGGCTGCGTTTGTTTCGTTGAGCGGTTTTTAGCGCCGAAAGGATTGCTCTATCTTCGTTTGATATTCGATGTGCAATAAAGACAGAATGATGCTCACAGCGCGTAAGCGTACAAAGCGAACGCAGCCTACATAAATCACGTGCATATTATTTCCTAACATAATCTAAAATTGTGTTTCGTTTGATGCTACAAAAAATTCGAATAATTTAATTGGCCAATCAAGATAAATAAAACAAAGATTTCTTTGCTCTGATTGGTCGAGCAAACGTTTCGAAACTTTCGTAGCATTAAACGGGACACAACTGAACGCTGGTATGAAATGAAGTGTAGAAGCCATTTGTGATTGTTTGTCAATCATTATGATTATATTAATATTGCGTTAATTCTCCAACTACTATTTTCATCAGAAGAGAGAGAGAGAGAGTCGAACAAATTGTAATTATGAAGCTAATTGTCAAAATCTTACTAAGAAAGTAAGTATTGAGTAAATATTTTTTTCATTGTATACTGTATATTAATAAGTTTTATCCATATTCTAAACATTTGCCGAGTTGCAGATTATTCCATTGATTATTATTTGGTTCAAATCCTAAAAGTCTCACTATTGTTACTAATTGTTTCAATTATACAATTATATAAATAATAATATTATCTATGAATATAGAAGAATGCAAGATTAATATTATGGATAACAAAGTTTGGATATCAATTTTTGGCATGCTATTTTGTGCTGATGTATCTGGATATTATTAATTAACGAATTAAAGAATTCAAGTTCTACCTTTATAAAATTATAAAATTATACAAAAAATGGATAATTCAAGACAACCAGACAGATCTCTCAGCAGTGGAATTTCATTACCACAATGGATGAAAGGAAAAATAGATAACAGGTAAATTTTATTTCCATATAATTATATCACTAACTGCGTATATCTTTATAAAGATTTTTGGGAGAACATATATTCAAGTATTAATTGAGTAATTAATCGATATAATCGGTAACTGTAATCAAAATAATCATAAAATTATACAAGTGTGCTATACACTTGATACTTTGCCAGATTAACCAATGTGTTATTTATAGTTGAACAGTTATATAAACATATACATAGACATTCAAATAAAAATTGCTGCGCATAAATATACTCTTTTCCCTATTATTCTTTCTTAAGTACAAATCTTATATATTAAATATTATTAATGATTGAAAAATGTTCAATCAGAAATTATCTCTAGTAAAATTAACATAGAAGATTTATTACGATTGATGCATGTAGATATTAATATACATATTAAAATATCTCTACTCTTATTACTCTTTTCCTGTTACTTTGTATAAATAATAATATCATTTTATACAGTAAAAATTAATTTAAATGTTCGATAATACAAAAAAATACTAAAATTGCATTTAAGAAGCATGCAGTTTAAATCAAGCATTAAATTTCGTAACGCTATATTAATTAATCATATTTGCATCAAAGTAATTTCTATTATACTTTTTTTTTTTTAGATTTGACTTTGACGAAGCTGCATTCAGTCCACCATCTTACGACGATAGCTTCTTTTATATAAAATATCCAAAATCACAAAATGCTGAAGTATCGCAACAAGGATTAAAACATATTGTAACTGAGGTTTTGAATGAAAATATCACGGGTTCTACAAATCAAATAGAACATGAAAAATCCATTTCCGATTTAAAAGAAGTAAAGGAGATTGATTTTAGCAAACATCCTTTACCATGCCAACCATTTATACCAATTATAAATAATAAAGGTATATATTACTAAAATCTATTGAAATCTCTGAAATAATATAGTACTTAGAAATATTCATGTTATTATTGCATTTTAGCCAATGATATTAAATATCGAAAGATTCCAGAAATAAGTGGAAGCATAAAACCTAAATCACAGGGAACAGACGATGGTTTTCACGGTGAGCCGGCTCTTTGCGGCAAATCAATCGTTCATGTAGCAAATCAAATGATGTCTGGTAAATTTACTAAAATATTCGCGTCAGATCTGCAATCGCAACAGACGGATAGCCAAATAAAAAATGTCAGTAAGTCGTTGCCAGCGACACCATTAACATCGCCGACAGGAACTCCAGATAGCTCACCGAAAGCGCGTAGAAAAATTCACGCTAACAGGTACTTCACGGGCGCGTTTGTACCGGATAGAGAGAAATATCAGGGTAATTGGATCATGGCAAGCATATTGGGCCAATCTAGAGAAATTATTACCGCGAAAATAGAAGAAGAAGATGAACCTTTCGCTGATGTGGAACCACGCAAGCCACTTAATCGAAAAAAGTCGATATCTTCGCAAAATCTGACATATATAGGAAAAGACGAAAAATCGGCGGATAAGTCGCCGATTTACGTAAATATTCTCGAAGCTAAACCATCTGAACTAAGAGAGATGAATTTTTGGTCACCGACTTCAATGTGAAATCTTAAGTTAAATTAATTATATAACTATATAGCTATTAATTATATAACTATGCGCTTCTACCAAAGTGTATTTAGATTATTCGAAGTAATTTAGATCTTATAACTTGATAACGCATAGCTTTAATTCTTTACACCACTATCATGGCAATGTTTCTTGCAACATACATATTTAGATGTCTTATTACACAATATTGGGTTCCTTTAAATTAAATATTACGAAAATAATAATTATAGTATCCATACATCAGAAATACAATAGAATTATATATATCACATAGTAATTGCGTGAAACGTGTTATATCTGTTATTTTCTTATAGATACAACAATGTCAGTAATCATATTACGCGCTTACCAATTCTTTTATAATTAAGTATTATTTCTTTTAATATTATTCGATTATCAATTTAAATATCCAAATTAATAATAAATAATTAATACAAACAGCTTAAATCTTCCAATTATCTCGCGCACATAAAAATATCAAGTCACGGCAAGAACATACACATGCATGCAATATATGTTGACATAAAATGTAAAATAGTTCAAAATTTATTGTATAATTTTATCTTTACTAATTACAATTCGTCAATAATCAATTAATGTAAAAAATATTTAATTTTAAATTTAAATAATAGATGCGTTTGGTAGATGTATCATTGCATCTGAAAAAAATAATATCGAAAAAGCTAATATTACAGAGATAATTAGATTAATAATTAGTGAGCCATTAAACCTTTTCTTTCTCTATTGTTAATTATTAGCGAGATAACGTGTTCAAATCTCACTATTTTTTTGTGTTATATATGTGTTACACTTAGGTCGGTTGCACTAACGTTATTTCAGCTTTAAGCGAAACTTAAATATATGTCTTTATTTATTTAGAAAGAAAGATAAAGATAAACATATATTTAGTCTCGCTTAAAGCTGAAATAATTGTTGGTGAAATCGGGCCTTCATAACTTTAGCTATAATCTATATTGTCTACGTTATTAAAAATAATCTGCCACAACTTAAAGGCAATACGGTTTATTAATGTAGGCTGCGGTCAAGACTGCACTATGAATGTTCCGAAACATCATTCTATCTTTATTCTCATGGAATGTAGAACAAAGATAGAATGAAAAATGTCAGTAAGTCGTTGCCGAGCGACACCATTAACATCGCCGACAGGAACTCCAGATAGCTCACCGAAAGCGCGTAGAAAAATTCACGCTAACAGGTACTTCACGGGCGCGTTGTACCGGATAGAGAGAAATATCAGGGTAATTGGATCATGGCAAGCATATTGGGCCAATCTAGAGAAATTATTCCGCGGAAAAATGAAGAAGAAGATGAACCTTTCGCTGATGTGGAACCACGCAAGCCACTTAATCGAAAAAAGTCGATATCTTCGCAAAATCTGACATATATAGGAAAAGACGAAAAATCGGCGGAATAGTCGCCGATTTACGTAAATATTCTCGAAGCTTAAACCATCTGAACTAAGAGAGTGAATTTGGTCACCGACTCAATGTGAAATCTTTAAGTTAAATAATTATATAACCATATAGCTATTAATTATATAACTATGCGCTTCTACCAAAGTGTATTTAGATTATTCGAAGTAATTTAGATCTTATAACTTGATAACGCATAGCTTTAATTCTTTACACCACTATCATGGCAATGTTTCTTGCAACATACATATTTAGATGTCTTATTACACAATATTGGGTTCCTTTAAATTAAATATTACGAAAATAATAATTATAGTATCCATACATCAGAAATACAATAGAATTATATATATCACATAGTAATTGCGTGAAACGTGTTATATCTGTTATTTTTATAGATACAACAATGTCAGTAATCATATTACGCGCTTACCAATTCTTTTATAATTAAGTATTATTTCTTTTAATATTATTCGATTATCAATTTAAATATCCAAATTAATAATAAATAATTAATACAAAACAGCTTAAATCTTCCAATTATCTCGCGCACATAAAAATATCAAGTCACGGCAAGAACATACACATGCATGCAATATATGTTGACATAAAATGTAAAATAGTTCAAAATTTATTGTATAATTTTATCTTTACTAATTACAATTCGTCAATAATCAATTAATGTAAAAAATATTTAATTTTAAATTTAAATAATAGATGCGTTTGGTAGATGTATCATTGCATCTGAAAAAATAATATCGAAAAAGCTAATATTACAGAGATAATTAGATTAATAATTAGTGAGCCATTAAACCTTTTCTTTCTCTATTGTAATTATAGCGAGATAACGTGTTCAAATCTCACTATTTTTTTGTGTTATATATGTGTTACACTTAGGTCCGGTTGCACTAACGTTATTTCAGCTTTAAGCGAAACTTAAATATATGTCTTTATTTATTTAGAAAGAAAGATAAAGATAAACATATATTTAAGTCTCGCTTAAAGCTGAAATAATGTTGGTGAAATCGGGCCTTCATAACTTTAGCTATAATCTATATTTGTCTACGTTATTAAAAATAATCTGCCACAACTTAAAGGCAATACGGTTTATTAATGTAGGCTGCGGTCAAGACTGCACTATGAATGTTCCGAAACATCATTCTATCTTTATTCTCATGGAATGTAGAACAAAGATAGAATGAAGTTTCAAAGCGCATCCAGAGCGTCTTCCCGACTATAGCCATAATCATATATATTACATATGTATAATAATATATTTAATGATTAATATGTTATCTATATGAGAACTCTCTGCTGTCTTGTATTACTCGTTCTTTATATATCGTATTTAGATCATAACATAATCGATATACATCAAATTTTGCAAATTTCTGTATATATGTGTTTTAACGAAATACATATAACTCTTAAATCGCAATACAATGCAACTTATATATCTATAAAATATATATCGCCGATACTGCCTGAAAAGTATGGCTGATGGCAGAGAACTAGGGCCGCTATTCATAGTCCGATCTTATATTTGAGATCGTCTTAAGTTCGAGCTTGAAATGCTACGCAGCTATTTGATTGGTTGAAGGAGGTCTTAAGTTAACCTCGGACCAGACTTAAGATGATCTTAAATATAAGATCGGACTATGAATACCGGCCTAGATGTCTGTCGTAGTCGTGGACGTAAAGTAAGGCAGAGAAAAACGTATGTCGTACAAGGCCATTGTGACGATCACATTGAGCCTATAGGCCGCAGCACACCCTTTGCATAAGCTCATAACCATAAGCATAAAAAAATTGATTGGTTCATTTTCTTATGCATATACTTGGGGACCAAATTCCTTATGCTTTTGGTTATGCGCTTATGCAAAAGTGTGTTGCAGTCTTATGGCTGATGGCAAAAAACGAGATGTAAACGCTTATATCTATCGTAATCGTAGACGTAAAGGCCCTTGCACAATGATAGGCAACAGGCAATGAGAACAGAAATAATATCTATTCTCTGTTCCTATTGGTGAATATTTTCTGTTTCGCGTACTTATTGGTGAATAGTTTCTATTCCTTATTACTATTGCCTGTGGGGCTTAAGGGCATCTGCACAAGGTGTTGCGTATTTACATTACACCTCCGTGAACTTAGCACCCTTATTTTGAGTTTTTTAATTTTTTTTTAATCGTTTGTAATTCGTTTGTAGATGATTGTAAAATTAATTAAAACGTTTGTGAAATCAGCCTTTCGCTGTAAAATAAAAAATAAAAATGACCGTTAAGTTAATGCTCTCATTTCTAATTTCAATTTAAGTTCTGCAGAGGATGAATCGACGCGAAATCGTTTGTGAATCACGAATATACTAATTAAAATGTTTGTGAGATCGTCGTTTCTTAAATAAAAACAAATAACGTATAAGCTGGCCTAAAGGACTACGTTCGAAAATTTACTCAGCATAGAATAGACTAACTAATCAGAACAATGAAATTTATATTTCTTTTGACGTAATTGGTCAATCAAAAACACTATTCTAGTCCAAGGAGTAAGTTTTCGAACGCAACCAAGGATGAAAGTTGGTAACCTAAAGGTGCATTTTGACGTGCCGCAGAAAATGATCATTTGAGCGACAAAAATGATTACGTGACGACTTTTGTCGTTAAACTATTACAGCTCCCGTGATCGCTAATAAAGCGAAAACGTTATTAAGGTTTCTCCATGATCGCTAATAACGCGAAAACTTTATTAACGTTCTCCCGTGATCGCTAATAATGCGAAAACGTTATTAAGGTTCTCTCGTGATCGCTAATAACGCGAAAAGGTTATTAAGGTTCTCCCGTGATCGCTAATAACGCGAAACGTTATTTTTCTACCGTGACCGCCAATAACGCGAAAACGTTATTAAGGTTCTTCCGTGATCGCCAATAACGCAAAAACGTTATTAAAGTCTCCCGTGACGCTAATAACGCAAAGCGTTATTAATGTTCTCCCGTGATCGCTAATAAAACGAAAACTTATTAACGTTCTCCGTGATCGCTAATAACGCCCAAAACGTTATTATGTTCTTACTGATCGCTAATAACGCGAAAACGTATTAACGTTTATTCCGTGATCGCTAATAACGCGAAAACGTTATTAAACGTTCTCCCGTGCATCGCTCTAATTAATGCGAAAAAACGTTATTTAGGTTCTCCCGTGATCGCTAATAAAGCAAAAACGTTATTAAGATTCTCCCGTGATCGCTCATTAAGCGAAAACGATATTATCGTTCTCCCGTGATCGCTAATAAGGCGAAAACGTTATTAAGGTTCTCCCGTGACCGTTAGTAATGCGAAAACGTTATTAAGGTTCCCCTGTGATCGCTAATAATGCGAAAACGTTATTAACGTTTCTCTCATGATCGCTAATAACGCGAAAACGTTATTAAGAATCTCCGTGATCGCTAATAAGCGAAAACGTTATTAACGTTCTCCCCGAATTGCTAATAACGGAAAAACGTTATTAAGTTTCTCCCGTGACCGTTAGTAATGCGAAAACGTTATTAAGGTTCCCCTGTGATCGCTAATAATGCGAAAACGTTATTAACGTTCTCTCGTGATCGCTAATAACGCGAAAACGTTATTAAGGTTCACCCGTGATCGCTAATAATACGAAAACCTTATTAAAGTTCTCCCGTGATCGCTAATAACGCGAAAACTTTAGTAAGGATTTCCCGTGATCGCTAATAACGCGAAAACGTTATTAACGTTCTCCCGTGATCGCTAGTAACGAGAAAACGTTATTAAGGTTCTTCCGTGATCGCTAATAACGCGAAAACGTTATTAAGGTTCTCCCGCGATCGCTAATAACGCGAAAACGGTATAAAGGTTCTCCCGTGATCGCTAATAAAGCGAAAACGTTATTAAGTTCTCCCGTGATCGCTAATAACGCAAAACGTTATTAACGTTCTC